TGGATATCTGTGTGAGTTTATTCTGTGTTTGTGTTGTTCTGTGTGTAGGTAGCTGCTTTGAGACGTGCTGATCATTAGTCCAAGGAGTCCTACCGACTGTGTAAAAAACTGAAAAAGTGGTCAAGGTCCACAAGTGCTTGTAGAGCCATAAATAGATAGTAGTTCTTAAAAATAACATTTGATTTCCCAGCGTAGTGTGTAAAGAAGCAATGTTTCCGTCATTTGAAGGGCAAGTTAACTATTAACATTACAGTAGCCATGTGCCAAACTACACGATGCCACATGTCACAATATCATAATTTTAATATTTATCGCCTTGAGAACCCAATATTTTCCGGAAGGTAAACGTGTTTTTACTATCTTGGCTACATACGAGAATACTGTGGAAATAGTATGTAAAATAAATATTATGTTAGAATGTGCATCTTCGTTTTCAGGCTGAGAAATGAAGAAATTGGTTTCTCTATTTAGAACATATTGTATCATTCGTTTTGTTTTATGCATTAATATTATATATATTATGGACGATAAACAATTTTTTTTTTATTTAGGATCAAAATTAACACTAAGTCAAAGGCAACTTGACGTCAGTGATTCGTCTGAAATGAGTGGTGTGGTGGCCAGATCTGTCAGATTTACCTTTAATTCTTCAAGAGTGCATCAGTGACTTGCAACAATGACATTCTTGAAATGTTCAATAGCTGTAACAGTTACCTTCATTTATGTGTTTCAGGCTTCGAACTGCTTTTCATTTTTATTCGTTTCTTAAACGAAACGTAGCTCAAGAACCTAAGCCTATGCGTTTAGGGGAAATAATGGCTGTCTGCTCATCTGCATGTTTCAGTTCTGAAACAACTTAACGGATTTTGATTAAATTTCGTATTGACCAACAGAAACATTGTGTGATGAATTCGATTATGGCTTTGCAAAGTGATCTGAAAGCAATGGAGAGGGTTGTAAACAAATTCTGTTGTGTCAGACTCGAATATCATTCATTAGCCTCATGTTCTTTGCCCTATGATACATAATGTCTCTCAGTGTTTATACTGTTGTCATTAGTTATGTTTTATTCGAGTTATTTTGCAGCTACAGTAAAATTGGTAACTCGAGATGAAAACAAGAATCGCGTATGAATGGTTGGAAGAGATGGTTTGGCGATTTATATCACCATAATGAGGAGAAACGAATAATAATTTTTGTGGTTCATTTTTGCGTTTTTCAGTGCTAGGCTTAAGGAGTTTTGAATTGTGTAGGAGCTTTTGTATCTCGGGTAAGGTAACCTGTTTCGAATTCTACTCCTGGGATACGAGTACCGAATACGGTGTTGAGATATCTTTTCATGCCTATAAGAACAGCTGAGCAACCAATCCAGTGGGCTTCAGAATTGCTTATCCTGCGAGTAGAATCAGCTTCCATAAAATGCGTGGCGAAGTCTTGCAGTGTATGGAATTCTCGCCCTATTCGAAGGGCTCCATGTTCATTTTTCTTGCTCGGAAACGGAGATTTTTAATTTGCACAAGGAAAAATGTAATGCAGAATCTTAGATGCAAATTGTTACAGATTCTGAATGGGCTTGTATGCATTTCTTAAGCTGAAGGGCGAATGTAGATAAGCTGGAATTGTGTGAAGTGGGCTTGCAAGATTTTTAAGTCGCGAAACCGTGCTTCTGAGATAAACACACTTTAAAAGTTTGACTCCTTATCAAAATATGGGATTTGGGAGAGATGAGGATTCAAGTTACGACTATTATTGCATACGTGCTTTGAAGGGTTTTTTTCTGAGCATAATTAGTCTATAAGAGTAGTCCGTATGTCTGATTATTNCCCATAGAGAGTGAATGTGCCATAGAATGAAAGTGATGGATGAATGGGACACAACTGGATCTTCTGGCGAGCTGAAAGGAAACCGCTCGAGACGAGTCGATCTTAAGAAGGGAGCGGATGTAACGGACGAAGAATAGTCGCTTCAAGAAGAGTAGCCGAAACAACAGGAGACACTGCAAGCACAGCTACGGGACGGAAAAGAAACCGGGGTGCACCGTTAGGCTATTCGGGACGAACAGCCTTAAGGAGGGAGCAGTGTGACATGTTGCGCAAAGCCGAGCCCCCACCCCACACCAGCAGTGACGCGGCGGGTGAGTCAGCGCTCCCCTCCTACCCCTCAGCGGTAACGTAACGCTCGCGTAATAGGCGAGTAATCACTCCGCATCCTGGCAGCTATGCGCGGTGACGTCACGAGCGGAGCCGAAGAGAGCCGAGCGGAGCCGAAGATAGCCGAGCCCCCGCAACCTGGTAACTATGCAAGGCGAGTCAACAGCGGTGACGTAACAGCGTTGACTTGCGTTGCCTAGCGACCAGGATGCTAGGACTCGGCTAACATCGGCTCGCTTCGGCTTCGCTCGGCGCATCACGGCTGGCGGAGGGTGGGGGGGGAGGGGCGTCATTCAGAGCCCAACATGTCACAATATTATGTATATTATGGACGATAAACAATTTTTTTTTTATTTAGGATCAAAATTAACACTAAGTCAAAGGCAACTTGACGTCAGTGATTCGTCTGAAATGAGTGGTGTGGTGGCCAGATCTGTCAGATTTACCTTTAATTCTTCAAGAGTTCATCATTGACTTGCAACAATGACATTCTTGAAATGTTCAATAGCTGTAACAGTTACCTTCATTTATGTGTTTCAGGCTTCGAACTGCTTTTCATTTTTATTCGTTTCTTAAACGAAACGTAGCTCAAGAACCTAAGCCTATGCGTTTAGGGGAAATAATGGCTGTCTGCTCATCTGCATGTTTCAGTTCTGAAACAACTTAACGGATTTTGATTAAATTTCGTATTGACGACCAACAGAAACATTGTGTGATGAATTCGATTATGGCTTTGCAAAGTGATCTGAAAGCAATGGAGAGGGTTGTAAACAAATTCTGTTGTGTCAGACTCGAATATCATTCATTAGCCTCATGTTCTTTGCCCTATGATACATAATGTCTCTCAATGTTTATACTATTGTCATTAGTTATGTTTTATTCGAGTTATTTTGCAGCTACAGTAAAATTGGTAACTCGAGATGAAAACAAGAATCGCGTATGAATGGTTGGAAGAGATGGTTTGGCGATTTATATCACCATAATGAGGAGAAACGAATAATAATTTTTGTGGTTCATTTTTGCGTTTTTCAGTGCTAGGCTTAAGGAGTTTTGAATTGTGTAGGAGCTTTTGTATCTCGGGTAAGGTAACCTGTTTCGAATTCTACTCCTGGGATACGAGTACCGAATACGGTGTTGAGATATCTTTTCATGCCTATAAGAACAGCTGAGCAACCAATCCAGTGGGCTTCAGAATTGCTTATCCTGCGAGTAGAATCAGCTTCCATAAAATGCGTGGCGAAGTCTTGCAGTGTATGGAATTCTCGCCCTATTCGAAGGGCTCCATGTTCATTTTTCTTGCTCGGAAACGGAGATTTTTAATTTGCACAAGGAAAAATGTAATGCAGAATCTTAGATGCAAATTGTTACAGATTCTGAATGGGCTTGTATGCATTTCTTAAGCTGAAGGGCGAATGTAGATAAGCTGGAATTGTGTGAAGTGGGCTTGCAAGATTTTTAAGTCGCGAAACCGTGCTTCTGAGATAAACACACTTTAAAAGTTTGACTCCTTATCAAAATATGGGATTTGGGAGAGATGAGGATTCAAGTTACGACTATTATTGCATACGTGCTTTGAAGGGTTTTTTTCTGAGCATAATTAGTCTATAAGAGTAGTCCGTATGTCTGATTATTTTATCGTTTTGAACGTAACTGGTTTTCATAATATTTTTTTTATTGCTATTGGGGTGGGACTAAGTGCCTTGTACTGCAGCCACTTCTGGCCTATTGTGCCAGCCCCAGATGATAGGTGAGGGTGATTGTGGAGCAATTGGTGGAATGAAGATTGGCAGGGAAAGCCGAAGTATTCGGAGAAAACCTGCCCCAGCGCCACTTTGTCCACCACAAATCCCACTTGACCAGACCAGGGATCGAACCCGGGCCGCCGCGGTGGGAAGCCAGCGACTAACTTCTTGAGCTATGGCGCGGCCCAGTAGGTATACGAGTTACGGCCGGAAGACAAAGTTGTTCCCGTGGGTAAGGAGAAGTGGGGAGCCCATTCTCCCGAGTGTTAACTTTGTCATATTAAGGTAAATTTTCTAAACAACTATAAACTGTAGAGTGTTTAATATTTATACATAAGTATTTATGGGTTTTATGCATCAATTGACTTTTGTCATAGTAATATACTTATAAGCAGATTTTTTTTAATAATTTTTCTTTTAAAGACTGCCCTAATGCAAAGCAAAACACCATCCTAATTAACAGTGCTATCGCTATAGAAATTTATCTACCCGGTGAACAAACTCCCTGAGCTCCTGGAATTATTAAATACCCGATTTTCATTATCACAGGATGTGTAATTGAAACGGAACCATGCTGCTAGCTGCATTTAAACCGGCTTGAAATGCCGTTTGTACTCGTATGAGGTTTTAGTAGAAAACAACATATATTATTAATCAGTGTTGAGCACACCCAAATTAACAAAAAACACAAAATTGATATTATTGACCCAAAGCATCTTCTTATCTTCTTATGCACTACGCCATGAAGACGTATGGGAGGAGTGGAGTTAAAATTGCTGCACGCATCTTAACCTCCACACTATACTGGGGTGATTGTTCAGACTCACGAGCCGGCAACACGGCCCTGGGGAAAGAGCCCCCTTCCCCTCTCTATTGGATACGAGGCTGAGCGAGCACCGGAGTCGATTTTGATGTGGTGACAAACAGAAAAATTTCATCCCCTTTCGGGAATCGAACTCTGATCGTCCAGTTAATTACTGACTGAGCCATCCCTGCTCGAAATTACGTAATTTTGTATACTGTAAAACCAAACCATACAAGCACTCGTAATTTTCTCCGTTAGAAAGTTAACTGTATTTGAATTAGTTGTGTCACTGGGTAAACCAACCTGTTGATATTGGTTGCCATCTGTAAGCTGTACGGAGTACCCAGTCTACAGAGTCGTTCTCGCTGTTTTCAACGTCGTCGTCGCTTTCTGGATGTGCATCTTCTTCATATATTCGTAGAAGCCGATCCAGTGATCTTACGCTTCGATCTAAGGGGCCATGAACGTTTTGCATGAAATCCACACACACGTACGTTATAAACCACACGTATCCCCGCGTCACAACCCAATGGAACAAGTACCTACCTATGAACGTATGCAGACTAACGCTTTTCTCTGGAAGCATTGTGTTCTTTGGGGGGAATTTTAGTCAGAAATTTCCACTTTTGCGTTTACGGGATAATGGTAAAAATCCGTATTCACATTTTGTTTCCGAAAAATGTTCACAACCACAAACAGTTTGAACGAATCCACAGGAATACGTTGAGTGTAAAAGCAGTTGAAGATCCGCAGTGCGGCACTGTGAGTTTCTTACACTTTGCAGAGCGTGTCATGTAACTGGCCGATAGTTTAAGCAAGTCCACATCTTGTACTGATCGCAAGGCGAAGTAGATTGCCTTGGTGTGCGAATACTGACCGGAGAGAGCAGGGTACCGGTAAAAAGGCTTCCTACTGTCCGAGGTCATTCTCATACATAAATAAGGTTGAATACTCGCCACTATTAATAATGCATGAGACTGCCTTTGTCATTAAGGCATGTTACATGTTTATAATATCATAAGCGAAGTTGGATCCGGAATGTTCTGTGCTTCCTCAAAAAAAAAAAAATCCTTCATTGTATTAAGGTTCAATGTAATTTTCCGCGGATGGAGAAAGAGTGCAGAGGCATACTCCACTGTGCATTATTTTCGATTTCGCATGTCTCTCTATCTTTGATATGTGCCTGGATGGCTCAGGCAGTATAGTGACTGACTACGGCCTGGACGACAGGAGTTCGATTACGTAAGTCTAAATTATTATCACGTGAAGGGGTGACTATCGACGGGGTTTGGATTTGTGACTCGAGATTGGCCACTTATACACTCAAGACTCGTGACTACACTATACAGATCATTGACACACGCAGACTAGCGTCCTCAGCCTATAACAGTCTCTACTAGCCGTTTCCTGGCAACGGATTTTAACACAACTATAATATTTTCACGGAATTACACACTCCAGATATCACAGCCGGACTTTCGTTTGTCCACTTTTACAACTATTATTTTTTTTATTGCTAGTGGGGTGGGACTAAGTCCCTTGTACTGCGGCCAATTCTGGCCTATTGTACCAGCCCCAGATGATAGGTGAGGGTGATTGTGGAGCAATTGGTGAAATGAAGATTGGCAGGGGAAACCGAAGTACTCGGAGAAAACCTGCTCCAGCGCCACTTTGTCCACCACAAATCCCACTTAACCATACCCGGGATCGAACCCGGGCCGCCGCGGTGGGAAGCCAGCGACTAACCGCTTGAGCTATGCCGCGGCCAACTTTTACAACTAACTCGCGGCCATTTCGGACCAACCTCCTAGTCTTCCCTTCACCTCCTGACTAAGCTCAAAATCAGTGTCGGAGTTATGTTACGACCGACGGTCCTCAGCCAGTCTGTCTTGGAATAAAGCATCCACCTGGGGCTTAAGACGAGATCTTTATCACTGTCGGACAGTTGCAAGCTCTTTCATGTGGGGTGCTGTCTCTGACGAGAGAACCGGTCTGTCGCTTGCCAGAGTCACAGTCAGCAGTAAAAAAAATTATCAGTATGCACAATTTACATTTTACATGTTAACTAAGTAACTAAGCTCAAAACCTCGTTTCGCTTATCTCTCGGAACGGACCATGCACAAAACACCTTTTGTCTGTTGCTGTAGCATTGTTGCAGTCATATCTGTTGTGGGAAGGTGTTTACCGAGCCTTTGCCTGGAAACGGGTATGGTATTTCTGCTTATTACGCGGTCGTTGCATAGCAACGGCTTTACACGCTACATTGTTCCCTCATTAAAGCTCTTCGCCCCAATGGCCTACAGGCGTACGGCAATTTCTTGTTTTCCGAGGCCTGTGTTTGGGACGTCTGTGCATGGTCTCATCTACCTCCCTGTGGCTCGGTTTTCACGGTGTTTATTCTCCAACTGCTCCGGCTGCTCCCTTCTTAAGGCCGCACTTCCCGAGCGGCTCCCGAGTCGGTCCAGGTGTGTCACCATCATTCTGCTTTACCGATCGTCGAGGGCAACAGTTCAGAGAGTGGTCGATGCTCCTACATATATAACTCTTACGCTGTTGTCACGTATTATGTGTATTACTGTCGACGAGGTTTTGGATTGGATTTTACCACTTATACACACGACTCGGAACTACAAGTAATTACCTAGCCATCACTGACTTCCAAACTTACACTAGTAGTTGCCTTGTAACGGTTTCTAACAATCGATAGTCCTCTGCTTCCGGGCTCAAATACTTTCTGAACGGCGGCTTCCTTCAAACTGCTTCTTTTATTCGCACTCCCATACAGAACTGACTCAGTTACCCCATTTATCCTCTTTATAACCACTTTGCACGGACCGAGTAGGAAACACCGTTACCAACAGTACCTCTGTTGTTGAATGTGTATACGTTGCCACCTGAACGTGTTTACCGAGCCGTTGCCTAGAAACAAATGTTTCAGAGCCGTTCGCTAACGACGGCTGTTTCTCTGGCTCCACAGTTCTTTCTTTGAGTAGATATGCCACATTATTTAAGATTCGCAGTTAGTCTGCTAGTCCGTCTTGGGTCATTCCCGACAGGCAAGAAATCTCTACCGCCGTTTCCGAGCATGTTCAGGAACCCAAAATGCATCATATCTAGCGGGGAGAGGATGCTCTTTCTCCAGGCATAAATTGGCTGGAACACGAGGTTAAGAACATATGGAGCTATACCTCCACTACCTCGTAAGTGCTCATTGCATGGCGCTGAATCAAGCAGAGGGACAGCTTTACTTCAATAACCTTGATGCTCATTTCTTGCTGATACAAATATGTTGTACATCTGATTATATTGCAGGTCTTCCGCTGCGTAGTGTTTGTTTATCTTTATATTAAATATTTATAATACCGGAAGATTGACCGCCTATGTGGTCTGGTGGTCAGAGGTTCGGGTTCGATTCCCGGCGCTGCAACATTTTCTGAGAAGTAGTAGGTCTGGGACAGGGTCCTCTCAGCCTCGTGAGGATAATTGAGGAGCTCTTTCAAGGAAATAGCGGCTCCGGTCTAGAGAACCGAAATTTTCGGCCGTGGGGATTCGTTGCGCTGACCACGCGACACCCTCTAACCGCTAAGTTGGCACTAACTTGGCCGACAAGCGGCGGTCGCTCGGTCGGTATAGTTCGCTTGCGGACTAAAACCACCGAGTTTATTTAATACCGAAATAGTTTTTAAAATAAAATTTGTAGATCCGACAGAGCTCTAGAACATTCTCTGCGTTGTATACCAGTACATTGCACGACAAGACGTTCTTTGGGGAAATTTTATAAATTCTGTTTGGCAATATCTGATCGTTTCATAATTACGAGTACATTTATGGGCATCCTCCACTAGATTTCAAAATAAGTGGATTTGCCCATAACTCAGCCCCTTAACCCATCGAACCTCTTAACAGACTTGCACCTCATCATCATCAGTAATCTATCAAGACGACAGGTCCACAGTCTCTTTCAAAACAATTCCTCCACTTAATGCGATCTAGAGCTTTCTCCTTCAAATGACAGTATCCTCTTCTGTCCCCAAGGTCATCCAGCATCTTCTTACGTCTTCTTCCTCGTCTTCTTGTCACTTCTATCCGCCCATCTATCTTTCCTTCGATAGCTTCTTTTAGAAGGCAGTTTCTGCGTAAAACATGACCAATCCAATTAGCCTTCCGTTTTCTTATTTCATGTAGGATATTCCTCTGCTCACTGACTCTAATTAACACTTCTTCATTTCTCACATAATCGGTCCAACTGATCTTCTCCATTCTTCTCCAACACCACATTTCGAAACTTTCCAGATGTTTCTGATCTACTGCCCTAAGTGTCCATGTTTCAGCCCCATACAGAGCTATGCTCCAAATGTAGCATTTCACTAGTTTCTTCCTCAAATTTAAGTCCAATTTGCTGGTAAAAAGATTCTTCTTCTTGCTAAATGCAGCTTTTGCCATGGCAATCCTGGATTTAATTTCACAAGTACACCTTCCATCATCTGTTAACAAGCTACCCAAATATTTAAAACATTTCACATTCTCCACTTGTTTTTGGTCTATCTTTATTGTGACTGGGGTTGGTTGTCTCGAAATTTTCATTACTTTTGTTTTCTCCACATTCATTTCCATGCCATAGCACCTTCCAATTTCAATTAGTCTATCAATCATGCCCTGTAGCACAGTTTCTTCCTTAGCCATTAACACAAGGTCATCTGCATATTTCACAGTTTGAATAATTTGCCCTCCTACTTTGAAGTCACCGAGCCCATCCAGAGCTTCCTTGGTAAGGCATTCGCTGTACAAGTTGAACAGAATTGGTGATAAACAGCATCCTTGTCGAACTCCTCTTCCAATCTGCACACTTCCTGTCTCCCCCCTGTCCAGTCGTACTCTAACTTTCTGATCCATGTACAATTTGCTAATCAATCTTCTTTCATGCCAATCGATACCTGTTTCTTTCAGGATCTGCATTAATTTGGTCCAGTTTACCCGGTCAAATGCCTTCTGCCAGTCTATGAAGCAAACACACAGTTCTTCATCTATCTCCAAAGTTCGTTCCGCTATAATTCTCATCATCCCAATTGCATCCCTGGTTCCTTTTCCTCTTCTAAATCCAAACTGATCTTCTCCAAGTACATCCTCTATTTTCCTTTCAATTCTTCTTTTAAGTATCTTTGCTATTATCTTTGCTGTATGTGCAATAAGACTTATTGTGCGATGGTCGCTGCATTTTGTAGCTTTTGTCTTTTTCTTTAAGGCAATCATTGTAACTTCTGTAAAGTCCTTGGGCCACTCTCCACTTTCATATATGGTGTTCATTAGTTTTGTCAGTGTTTTCAAACCACCTTCTCCCAGTAACTTGAGCACATCTCCAGGTACATCATCATCTCCTGTAGCCTTTCCCTTCCTCATTTCCTTGATAGCTTTTTCCACCTCACTTTGTAAAATATATGGTCCTTTCTCGTCTGTATCTACTTCTTCTTCCGGTTCAACTTCTAAGGTTTCTGGCCGATTAGGTCGATCATATAGTTCTGAAATATAATTTTCCCAAATTTTCAGCACTTGCCTCTGATCTACTATTCTATTCCCCTGGGAGTCTTCGATGCCAACATTTTGAATCCCATGATTCTCTTTCCATCCTAGTTCTTTTGTCTTCATGTACATCAAATCATAACGGCCTGTTCTTTGAAATTCCATAATCTCATTACATATCTTCTCAAGATATTCCTTTTTGGCCCTGTCCGTGGCTCTTTTCAATTCATTCCTCAGTCTCCTGTATTTCCTCCTGCCTTCTTCATTGTTGACATTCTTCCATTTCCTTCGCTCCTCCATTTTACTCATCATCTCCTGTGTAACCCATGGTTTTCTTGCTATCTTCTCAACTTTACCTACCAAATCACTGATAGTATCTAACATGCATTCTTTTATATCGTTCCACTGCGCTTCAGCATTTCCGCTTTCACCTTCAATTGCACCGAGTTTCTCTTCTAGAGTCTCTTGCACGCTTTGTCTTTGAGCATATAACTTCTCCAAATCCCATCTGGGTCTGCGCTTTCGAAATCCTATAATTTTCTTCAACCTGGTTCGGAACTTGGCAACCAGCAAGTTGTGGTCAGAGTCAATGTCTGCCCCAGGAAGCGTCTTCACATCCTTCACACTGTTTCTGAATCGATGTTTCACAAGGATGTAGTCCAGCTGATGCCTCTTCCAATCCCCAGGTGCCTTCCATGTGTAAATTCTTCTCTTTGGCTTCTTGAACCAAGTGTTGGTAACAATCAATCCATTTCGTTCACAAAAGTCAATAAGCATTTGACCTCTGTGATTCCGTCTTCCTAGTCCATGTGATCCAACAATATTCTGATATGGTTCATCTCCAACAATGCTGTTCCAGTCTCCCAATATGATGCTGTTTGTGTCTCCTCTTCCATCTTCCTGAAGAATTTCTTCAATTGTGTCATACACTTTTTCCACTTCATCATCTTCATACTCTGATGTTGGCATGTACACTTGTATAATCAGTATATCTACCGGTTCCGCCTTTAACTTCAGAGCAATAATTCTGTCATTACAAGCAATCTTCTTAACAACACTCCTCACTACACTTTTATGCACCACTATTGCCACACCTCTTTCAGCCCGTTCACCTCCGGAATAATACACTGTATAATCACCGCTTCTTAACTTGCACCTATGACAGATTAAATTATAGCTGAAGCACTCTGACTATGGTCTTCCATGTTTTGACACTATGTAATTATGGGATATCAGCATTTCGGGGGTAACATTCTGTCTCCATCTTCAAGCTGTGAATCTGAAGATGGAGGCAGTGTGTTCCCAGAAACGTCAGAATCCACCTACAAGACTACATGATGTCACAAAACAGAAGACTATGAGCACAATCTAAACTCCCACCGCCGTGAAGCCTCATCTTATACAGCTGAACATTTTCTGTCTGCCTCGAATTACAGGGTTTTTGGATTTTATCGTCCTGTACTCTAAAGAACACCAGCCTTCCGGAAACTGAATCTGTTACCACCTTCAGGTGAGGGGGTGGGTGGAAGGTCCAGTAATTGGGTTTAGCTGTTTCTAACGGACCCAACAAAGTATCTCCCGCCCCTCCTCACCTGAGGAAGGGAGCAGATCAAGTTTCCGAAACGTTATATTCTTTTGTGTTCTTTATAACACCGGACGATGGACAAGTCCCAGAACTCAGTAATCCTGGGTGTTGTACATTACCGTCAGAACTCTTTATTATGTGTATTGTCTACCTTTTGATAAGTTAGCTCTCAACTAACTTGAATCTAAAATATGTAGTGTATTTATTTATTTATTATCTCTTGTCGGATTGATATGAAGAATAAGTTACGTGGTTATCTTATTTAGTAGTCAACACGAGGTTCTGATATTAACTAGTCATCCATCTATCTGTGGTTCTGCAGCCCTTGTGAACCTTGACCGCTTTTTCAGTTTCCTAATCTATACACATTCGGTAGCACTCCTTGGACTGGGGAACAGTCCGTCGCAAGGCCGCTACCTACACAGGACAACCAAACACATAATAAACGCACACAGACATCCATGCCTCGAATGGGATTCCAACCCACGATCCCAATGTTCGAGCGGGCGAAGACAGTTCATGCCTTAGACCGCGTGGTCAGTGTGATCGGCTCTTTGTAGTTGTACACTAGCTATATAACATACAGTGACATGAGATACTGCGTCAGTGTGAATATTCGATTCACATTAGTTTCAAAAGAGCGAACCCGAGGACTGCTAGACTTTATTATTTCCAGCCGACACAGAGAAAGTATGTTTGTCTTCTGCTTAATTTAACGACGCTCTCTCAGCTTCGAAGATGGTTGTCTGAGTGACTATATAATTGGAAAGGATGCGAACGTGGCCCAATTTAAGATACAGTTTCAGCATATTTTCACATGAGTCTGCATACCGTTGAAGTACATTTTTGTATACATATTATGTTGTAGCGTCATACTGTGTGCAAGATAATGATTATTATCACTCAGTCGACACAATCCTTATATAAACACGCCATACGTCGTACGTTTGCAAGTACTACATATTTCGGCCTCTCGTGACCATCATCAGGTATATAGAGCCTTTGCAGTCACCCTTCTTTCTACCTTGTGTACCTCCCAACGCTGGCCAGTGTTTACACATTGGGAGTGCTTTGTGCAGATTTGTTGTTTATGTAATGTTCTTATGTTATGAAATGTATAATATTAAAATTAAAATTTAAAAAAATATTATAATATTGTAACTGGAATTAAAATTAGGTTGAGTGTTAAAAGGCGTATATAATATGTGGAAACCAAACCGAAAGGGACATAACGCAAAGAAATGAATTTATATTTTAAAATATTAAAATTCTAATTAGAATTGTATATAATACAGCTTTTAACACACAAAAAAAATCAGTGGCCTGTATTCCGCAAGTGAACTATACCGACCGAGCGATCACCGCTTGTAGGCGAAGTTAGTGCCAACTTTTGCGGATAGAGTTAGCGCAATGGATCCCCACGGCCGTTAATTTCTTCTGTCTAACTATTCTGGAACTGCTACACTGCACTAATATTGTCCATTCGTCGGATATGCCACTGCGAGCTTCATGATTTGAATCGACATACTCGTAGTCAATTGGTATGAGCTAAAGTAGAACACTCTGTAGTTTGCTTAATTTAAACCAACAAAATTCATTACAATTTGTATTCAAATTTTCTGTTATAATACCTTTTAGATTTGAAAAATTCTTATTACACCTCACAAGGGGCGACGTCCACTTGTTTAGATCTGTATCCTCCAATTCAGATGTTTAATGCGGCAGCCTGTTTTTCTATTCGTAAGCCCGTTGTTGTGTTACGTCTGCAATCTGTAATTCTGCCCCTAGCTTGTGCGTTGTTCCCTCTTGCAGCTTGTGGTGTTGTCTTCATTACAGGTGCGAAGACCAAAAAGCCAGCAATGCCGAGTTACACGCACCAGCGTCAGGACCGTTTAGAATCTTCCAGACAGGAGGATTTTGAGGACGGTGCTAAGACGAATATTTGGATCGCTGAGGAGAAGGTAACAAGGGGATGGGAAAGCACTGTACAGGTTGACGGGATTCCCATAATTTCTACTCTGCAAGGAATATTACTAGGATGATTACATCAAGGAGGAGCGGATGAGTTGGACATATAGCAATCTCAGAATTGGCAATGCTCAGCTTCTTAACTAACTCGATTTTTGTTAAGTCGACAATCGAAAGAAATACCTAAGCAGTTGAGAAGACTTCGGTTTCCACAAATATTCCTTGCAGGATATGTTACACGTTATAAATGCTCAAAGAAGATGATGACATTCAAATTGACATATTAATGTTTATAATTTAATACTTAGACAAACACATACTATTACAGGCTACTGTTAATAGGAAGAGCATGAGAGTTCGGGTATAAACTTTTTATAAGAACAAATATGATACATACATTAAACATTCAAACACTCAGCAGAAAGACAGAAATCTATGGGGTACAAAATAACCTGATCCAGTTGCAGGGGATCCAATATATTGTAACTGCGGGGCGGTACCAACCCTACGTCTGGGGCCAACTGGGGGTAGCCTCTGCCTCACTGGGGTTAGGAGAAAGTGATGTTCACACAGTTGTTCTCACTGCTTGGAGAGGGCACGCATCAAGTTCACTTCATTGGGGTCTCTGGGTCTGCGGAGAGGACGCACGGGCCGCTGTAACATTGGCCGGAAGTCTCCTACTGCGCTCACTTGTTGTACTGGTTTATTCTGCTTCACTGCTGTTGCTTAGGGACAATTTTCTGATTGCAGCAGCGAATCACGTGCGTGGTAAGATAGGAGCTGAAAGTGAGATGTTTTTCTGGAACAATTTCTATCGCCAGCGGCCCACAGCACTCATCCACAATGAAGGTACTCCAACTCAGCAAATGCCACAGACTGCAGTGTCGCATTGTTTGTAGTTCATGGAAGTCGCGTGAGATTCCCTCCGCATATTTCAAGTCTTTTTTAATCAGCTCGCGTTCATCCAAGAAGTTGGGAGACAAGATCACATCACTCGGAACACCCATGCTTGCATTCCGGAGTTCGTGAAACAGTTTGCACACAGAGTATACGCGGATGTTGTCTCTTCCTGCATTCATTTGCTGACCAGGGCGTTCATTCAGTAGGCACAAAACGCTTTCAACAGCTTCGATGTCTCCTGGTGACGTATACAGAGGCGGCAGGTTTGTTTCTTCTCCGTCCTCTCCCATTAGAAAAAATCTAATGTTGCTGAGTATTTCTTGATGATGTGACTCACTCCCGAAACCGTCTGGAGGCAGTGGAATCGGGTGAGTTTCTGTTGCATGTTTGAATGCCTGAGAAGCGTAGCCAAGAGGAATGTCACCGGGGTTAATGAATGCATGGAAATTATTCGTAACGCCGTCCACAAAACTGAACTCAACGAGAGCAATTTCACAGCCCAGGTACCTGCCACTGCGATCCTTGCAGCAGTAGTTGACGTGCACCAGGTGGAACAGGTGGGTTTTCAGTGAGTTGTGGTGTTTGAGCGAGCGTACAGTTTCTTCTATCTCTCTGAACATCCTGTTCTGTCTGTTTGCCTGGTTCAGCAGTCGCTCAAGCCATGCGCAGTGTGTCCTCCGTGGCCGAAATGCGTTACTAAAATCCACGTGGCTCAGTCTGTGCTCCTTGTTTCGGGCCTGTTCCTCATAGCCCCATCTCTCGTCCGCTGCCATGTGCTCCCACATCGAGGCCGCCATCTCACTGATGAAGGGAGCCCCCCTTTCTTGCACCTTCTTCTGTACGTGGAGAAAGAAGAAATCAAATCCCTCCTCCGGACTTTCCTTCTCTGTTTGCTGCGTATTGTCCATAGTCATCAATTAAACCTGCGAACAGATAATTAAAAATAAATATCGTCAAATTATTCTGAAGGCACATGAGAACCTGGAAGCGAGACAGCAAACTCATCTATAGGAACGCCTCACATCTGCGATGGATTGTATGACAAGTCGGGTGGAGTCGAATCACTCCGCCTACCTCTACCGGTGAGGATTCCTGGCTAGTGCGATAATTAATAAATTAACTCTAATTACCAGTTCTCGAAATTGGATCGTATCTACGAAAATCTCAGAAAGTTGATTACCCATGATTCCAAGAAAATATGCCTTTTATTTTACCACGTCTGTTTCTTCCGGTCATTCTGTTTCTGTCACATCGTGCACCGGCTCCTTCTTGGGAAGCTGACAAGAAACGTTCCCACATTTATGGAAGCAGAGAATTCATGACTTTGCCCAACACAACTCAACACCGGGGGCTAGTTTCACATATCAAATTCCTTATGAATTTGTTTCACCCGAATATGCTGTATTTGCGACCCTGTTAAAATTTCCTTCCTTAAATCGCATCCATAATTCCAGGCGAACAACACAATCCATAAATTTTCCTGTTTTTTTTTCTGCAAACCTTTGACATACCTATATGGATTACGTCAAGCCAGGTATATATATTGTAAGCCAATGAGATGGTTTCAGGTGGCAAGATATTGTCACGTGTAGGATGGCATGCGTAACGAAATGACGGGTTATAGTTAGGATGATTGGATCTACAATATTAACACTTTCGTTACACACTCCCTCTTAATTACACTTAAATAGAGCCTTTTCGTTGATATACACACACGCTTCATAACTCACTGTCGCACGCAACCTCAACTGGCCAGGCGGAATACGCATGCCCTCTGTCGCGTAAAGGCCGTGTTTACAGTGGCGCTGTTATGTTCCTTAAGATTAATATCAATATCTTCAGGCATTGGACAAGGGGTTTGCAATGAGCATCGAATGGACTGGACATCTGATATTCAAAACTACAAATACCGTATTTACGCATGTATAGGCCGCACATTTTTTGCCAAAAATTCACGAGGAAAACTGGGGTGCTGCTTATATTCGAAATATTCGAAATCACACGTCATTTAAAAAAAATTATATTTATAATTAGTAATACAGGGTGTAATATTCCTGAAATAATATTCCAAGAAATTATTTTTCTATAATTTGTCTGAAAATTGTGCTGCGGCCTATACACGCACGCGGCCTATACATGCGTAAATACGGTACTTGCAACACTTTCACTATTCTATACCGTCTAGAAATAACTACAGCCTTAAATATCTGTTATATTCTCACCTCACTGTTTGTAGTAATGGCTTCCGGAAATGATGATTCTGCTTGTTGCCTCAGTCCTCTCCTTGCTGGGTAACGACTGCCTTCTGTGAACACAACTGTCACAACCGTCACAACCGTCACAACTCGGTCCGCAGCGGTCTGCAGTTCTGCTTTTTACTCCAGCAACTGGTACCTGTGACGTCACAGTACCTGTTTGCGTAACACCGCCACGTCACAGTGCCACGTTGCCGGGAAGTGTTTACTGTCTGGTTGCGTAGCAACGCATGCGTTATAGCCTCGCGGTGTCCACGATTTCGACTTATAAGCGTTATGTAATAATAATTTACTTCCGCCAAGACCTCATCTAAGTAAAATTTTTTATCAATTTATCACGTCTTATAAACTTTTTACATGTCCCATACATATCATATATGTGTGAATGTCCTAACAGTATCTGATGGAGAGAGTGTAGTTATGCAGTACGCAGTTCGATCTGGCCTTCTGCTGTTTTTTAAATAAAAATAATCGCTTATTTTAAGAAGAAAAATAGACAGAATGCAGAACATAGGGACACCTTAAATGCCTTATCCATGTGCTGCAACACGAAAAAGGAGACGTAGGAAGGCCTGGGAGTGAATGTACAGACAGTTTAATTCTTAGGTCTCTGATTTAGCTCCATCACAAAGTTAGTGAGGAGGATTGAAGAGGATTATATGGTTGGCTAACTATATTTATCGTCCGTCAATGCTGCAACACTCTTCCATTCACCACTCAATTTTAGTTTAACATTATACACCTCACACTACATATTTCGGCCCCAAACGGCCATCGCCAGGTGTTACAAATATGTTACAAATATTTTATTGAACTGTGTTAAAACTGCTACACTGTCTTAGTTCGTGTTTAAATCACACGCTGTAGTTCTCTTTTTTAGTTAAAACCAAGTGAAATCCTTTAAAGTTTCTATTATACCCACGTTAATTTGGTGCATATTATTTCACCTAACTCGAGGTGTCGTCCATTTTCATAAATGTATGTCTGTCCAGGTTGTTTTCTTGGCAGCTCGCCCCTCACGTTCGTAGCCTACGATGAATACTGGACGTCAAGTTGAACAACTGGAACGGGATGGTAAAATACAGAACCTAACTATATTTGTTTAAACACTACTGTAACAGTTGCAGTGATGAGGAGGTCCCAACAATGGCACTGCCTGGCTTACTCACTTTAATGCTGAGTGCAATAACGGCATACCGGCCATCGTGCTCTGCTTCTCGCTTTCTTCGCAACACACGATTATTCTGTTTGTGAATCCATCTACCGGTACATGCCGCAGGATACGGTCTTCTTCAGTTATATTCTTATGGCCTTTCCAGCTTTTCAAATCATTATATGTAAATGGGCCTGTAACACCCCCAAACGTCATATAATCCTCTTCCATCCTCCTCACTAATTTTTTGATTGAGCTAATTCAGAGACCCAAGAATTAAACTGTCTGTACATTAACTCCCATTAACGTCTCCTGTTTCGTGTTATAGCACATGGATAAGGCATATAAAGGGTCCCTGTGTTCTGTATTCTGTCTATTTTTCTTCTTAAAGTAAGCGAATATTTTTATTAAAAAAAAAAAAGAGCAGAAGACCAAAACGAGCTGCGTGTTGCATAACTACACTCTCTCCACCAAAAACTGTTAGAATAAAAGCACGGAGTAATTCTTAATCCATTACAGACAGGGGAAACTAGCTTTCCTAACTGAACTGCGAACAGCATTTTTATTTACCATATTTCGATCCGGATTAGATGTAACCGAATTAGGGAGGGTTCACTGTATTACTGCACTGCAGCGATCTGGCTCCTTTTATTCTAAAACGTTAAAAAATCTTCGTGAAGCAGGAATCACAAAAGATGGTCTTGTCTTGTGAGGCGAGAAACATGCGTAACCTTGGCTAACTATATTTGTTTAAACACGACTGTAACAGTTGCAGTGATGAGGCGACACCAACAATGGCACTCTTACTCACTTTAATGCTCAGTGCAATAACGGCATACAGGGCGTTCGTGCTCGATTTCTCGTTTACTTTGCAACACACGATTATTCTGTTTGTCAATCCATTTACCGGTACATGCGGCAGGATACGGTCTTCTTCAGTTATATTCTTATGACTATTCCAGCTTCTCAAATCATTGTATGTAAATTGGCCTGTAACAGCCCCAAACGTCATATAATCCTCTTCCATCCTCCTCACTAATTTTGTGATGGAGCTAAATCAGAGACCCAAGAATTAAACTGTCTGTACATTCACTCCCAGGCCTTCCTACATCTCCTGTTTCGTGTTATAGCACATCGATAAGGCATATAAAGGGTCCCTGTGTTCTGTATTCTGTCTATTTTTCTTCTTAAAGTAAGCGATTATTTTTATTAAAAAAAACAGCAGAAGGCCAGATCGAACTGCGTATTGCATAACTACACACTCTCCATCAGATACTGTTAGGACATTCACACATATATGATATGTGTGGGACATGTAAAAAGTTTATAAGACGTGATAAATTGATAAAAAATGTTACTTAGATAAGGTCTTGGCGGAAGTAAATTATTATTACATAACGCTTAAAAGTCGAAATCGTGGACACTGCAGCGCTATAACGCATGCGTTGCTAGGCAACCAGACAGTAAACATTTCCCGTGATCGTGGCACTGTGACGTGGCAAGTGGAGCAGTTACGCAAACAGGTACTGTGACGTCACAGGTGCCTGTTTCTGGGGTATAAAAGCAGACCAGCTCACCGCGTTGTGACATGTGGTTCTGACAGTCGTGTACAGAGAAGCGAGTGGCTAGGCTGCACGGAGGACTCAAGCTACAAGCCGAATCATCATTTACCCAAGCCATCACAACATATATTGAGGTGAGACTATAACAGATATTTTAGGCTGTAGTTATTTCTAGACGGTATAGAATAGTGAAAGTGTTGCAAGTATTTGTAGTTACGAATGTCAGATGTCCAGTCCATTCGATGCTCATTGCAAACCCCTTGTCCAGTCAGTAATACGTGAAGATATTCACAATAACCTTTAGGAAATAAGGTGTGAGGATGTGGATTGGGTTCAGCTGGATAAAGTTAGCTATAAGTAGCGGGCTCATGTACAAAATCTCATATGTACACTTTATTGTTTTATGTGGCTTGTTTAACGACGCGATCAGGATTTCAGACTACGAGTATAGGCTATAGGGTCAAGCGATGGAATGATTATTGAACAAGTAATTTGGAAAAATTCGGAAGGAAACAGTCTTTTCTCTGATCGAGGTACTGTCGTGGCATTTTCTTATAGGGACTGAGAACAAATATGAAATACTTCAGTGCGGACAGCTGGTGTCCAGATCCAGATACGAAACCAACGCCGCCAGCATACAGGTTTAGAGAGTTCCAGCTCCACGAGTCTGCTCCGTCTGTTTTTTTTCTTCATTCTTAATTACGATCCACACAATGCTTTCATAACATTATGTCGGTCTGGATACATTACCGTATTTACGCATGTATAGGCCGCGTGCGTGTATAGGCCGTAGCACAATTTTCAGACAAATTATAGAAAAAATAATTTTCTTGGAATATTATTTCAGGAGTATTACACCCCGTATTACTAATTATGAATATATATTTTTTTAAATGACGTGTGATTTCGAATATTTCGAATATAAGCCGCTCCCCAGTTTTCCTCTTGAATTTTTGGCAAAAAATGTGCGGCCTATACATGCATAAATACGGTATATTGCTTAACCGTTTCACGTAGTTTACAGCGCGAATTCCGTTTCTTGTTTAACTGTACTCTCGGACCGACTCTAAAGGGTTCTAGTGATGGCGTGTAGCATTCGGGATTTCTGAAATTGTTAGCCCACTACATTATTTTTAAAAGATAAAAGTAGGTCTATGAGGTCACCTTGCTGTGTGTCTGTATGTGTATCCCCCTATTAACTTTTGTAATGGCTCAACCAATATTTATGAAACTTGGTACATACATCCTGTCACTTGAGTCGGTTTCAAAGGTGCAATTCATGAATCTTTCACACCAGTAATGCCAACATTACAGGCTCCCAATTTCTGAGGCCAAACCTTAATATTGCTTGAAGACCTCTATGAATCTTCATGAAGCTTCGTAAGCCATCTCAACTATGTAAATCATCATAAATCCTCCCATCATTAATACCAACATTTCAGCTTCTCAGATTTCTGAGAGATACCCTTAATATTTCTCTGACGCCTGTACCAATCTTCATGAAACTTGGTGCATTTATTTGTGGTGTATTTACGCCATGTTGGAATCGTTGAGCCACAGGAATCTGTAAATACAGCTGTTACGCAACAATAAGGAAAAGGCTGTTTTCTCGTGCCGTGCCTTGCCATGCGTGCCGAGACGAGCCGAGCCGAGCGGCACAGCGCTGCTTGCTACGCAACGTTACAGTAAACATCTCTCTGCAGCGTTGCCTATCAGCGCCACTGTAAACACTGCCTTTAAGCAACACAGGGCATGCGTATTCCGCCTGTCCATTTGAGGTTGCGCGCGACAGTGAGTTATGAAGCGTGTGTAAATCAGCGATAGCGCTGTATTTAGGTGTAATTAAGATGGAGTGTATAACGAAAGTGTTCATAGATCCAATCACCCTAACTATAACCCGTCATTTCGTTACGCATGCCATCCTACACGTGACAATATCTTGCCACCTGAAACCATCTCATTGGCTTACAATATATATACCTGGCTTGACGTAATCCATATAGGTATGTCAAAGGTTTGCAGAAAAAAAAAACAGGAAAATTTATGGATCGTGTTGTTCGCCTGAAATTATGGATGCGATTTAAGGAAGGAAATTTTAAGAGGGTCGCAAATACAGCATATTCGGGTGAAACAAATTCATAAGGAATTTCATATGTGAAACTAGCCCCTTCTGTTGAGCTGTGTTGGGCAAAGTCATGAATCCTCTGCTTCCATAAATGTGGGAACGTTTCTTGTCAGCTTCCCAAGAAGGAGCCAGTGCACGATGTGACAGAAACAGAATGACCGGAAGAAACAGACGTGGTAAAATAAAAGGCATATTTTCTTGGAATCATGGGTAATCAACTTTCTGAGATTTTCGTAGATACGATCCAATTTCGAGAACTGGTAATTAGAGTTAATTTATTAATTATCGCACTAGCCAGGAATCCTCACCGGTAGAGGTAGGTGGAGTGATTCGACTCCACCCGACTTGTCATACAATCCATCGCAGATGTGAGGCGTTCCTATAGATGAGTTTGCTGTCTCGCTTCCAGGTTCTCATGTGCCTTCAGAATAATTTGACGATATTTATTTTTAATTATCTGTTCGCAGGTTTAATTGATGACTATGGACAATACGCAGCAAACAGAGAAGGAAAGTCCGGAGGAGAGATTTGATTTCTTCCTTCTCGGCATACAGAAGAAGGTGCAAGAAAGGGGGGCTCCCTTCATCAGTCAGATGGCGGCCTCGATGTGGGAGCACATGGCAGCGGACGAGAGATGGGGGTATGAGGAACAGGCCCGAAACAAGGAGCACAGACTGAGCCACGTGGATTTTAGTAACGCATTTCGGCCACGGAGGACATACTGCGCATGGCTTGAGCGACTGCTGAACCAGGCTAACAGACAGAACAGGATGTTCAGAGAGATAGAAGAAACTGTACGCTCGCTCAAACACCACAACTCACTGAAAACCCACCTGTTCCACCTGGTGCACGTCAACTACTGCTGCAAGGATCGCAGTGGCAGGTACCTGGGCTGTGAAATTGCTCTCGTTGAGTTCAGTTTTGTGGACGGCGTTACGAATAATTTCCATGCATTCATTAACCCCGGTGACATTCCTCTTGGCTACGCTTCTCAGGCATTCAAACATGCAACAGAAACTCACCCGATTCCACTGCCTCCAGACGGTTTCGGGAGTGAGTCACATCATCAAGAAATACTCAGCAACATTAGATTTTTTCTAATGGGAGAGGACGGAGACGAAACAAACCTGCCGCCTCTGTATACGTCACCAGGAGACATCGAAGCTGTTGAAAGCGTTTTGTGCCTACTGAATGAACACCCTGGTCAGCAAATGAATGCAGGAAGAGACAACTTCCACGTATACTCTGTGTGCAAACTGTTTCACGAACTCCGGAATGCAAGCATGGGTGTTCCAAGTGATGTGATCTTGCCTCCCAACTTCTTGGATGAACGCGAGCTGATTAAAAAAGACTTGAAATATGCGGAGGGAATCTCACGCGACTTCCATGAACTACAAACAATGCGACACTGCAGTCTGTGGCATTTGCTGAGTTGGAGTACCTTCATTGTGGATGAGTGCTGTGGGCCGCTGGCGATAGAAATTGTTCCAGAAAAACATCTCACTTTCAGCTCCTATCTTACCACGCACGTGATTCGCTGCTGCAATCAGAAAATTGTCCCTAAGCAACAGCAGTGAAGCAGAATAAACCAGTACAACAAGTGAGCGCAGTAGGAGACTTCCGGCCAATGTTACAGCGGCCCGTGCGTCCTCTCCGCAGACCCAGAGACCCCAATGAAGTGAACTTGATGCGTGCCCTCTCCAAGCAGTGAGAACAACTGTGTGAACATCACTTTCTCCTAACCCCAGTGAGGCAGAGGCTACCCCCAGTTGGCCCCAGACGTAGGGTTGGCACCGCCCCGCAGTTACAATATATTGGATCCCCTGCAATTGGATCAGGTTATTTTGTACCCCATAGATTTCTGTCTTTCTGCTGAGTGTTTGAATGTTTAATGTATGTATCATATTTGTTCTTATAAAAAGTTTATACCCGAACTCTCATGCTCTTCCTATTAACAGTAGCCTGTAATAGTATGTGTTTGTCTAAGTATTAAATTATAAACATTAATATGTCAATTTGAATGTCATCATCTTCTTTGAGCATTTATAACGTGTAACATATCCTGCAAGGAATATTTGTGGAAACCGAAGTCTTCTCAACTGCTTAGGTATTTCTTTCGATTGTCGACTTAACAAAAATCGAGTTAGATAAGAAGCTGAGCATTGCCAATTCTGAGATTGCTATATGTCCAACTCATCCGCTCCTCCTTGATGTAATCATCCTAGTAATATTCCTTGCAGAGTAGAAATTATGGGAATCCCATCATCCTGTACAGTGCTTTCCCATCCCCTTGTTACCTTCTCCTCAGCGATCCAAATATTCGTCTTAGCACCGTCCTCAAAATCCTCCTGTCTGGAAGATTCTAAACGGTCCTGACGCTGGTGCGTGTAACTCGGCATTGCTGGCTTTTTGGTCTTCGCAATCTTGTAATGAAGACAACACCACAAGCTGCAAGAGGGAACAACGCACAAGCTAGGGGCAGAATTACAGATTGCAGATGTAACAGAACAACGGAATTACGAATAGAAAAACAGGCTGCTGCATTAAACATTGTGAGGTGTAATAAGAATTTTTCAAATCTAGAAGGTATTATAACAGAAAATTTGAATACAAATTGTAATGAATTTTGTTGGTTTAAATTAAGCGAACTACAGAGTGTTCTACTTTAGCGCATACCAATTGACTATGATTCAAATCATGAAGCTCGCAGTGGCATATCCGACGAATGGACAATATTAGTGCAGTGTAGCAGTTCCAGAATAGTCAGACATCTGAAGTTATTGATTTAGGGCCGAGACATGTTGTGTCATATGTGAGTGTAAGAAATGAGGAATTAATTTTTGCATTCTTGACGGACTGCGTAGTACAGTACACATTATTAGATATATTAACGCAACAGGATGCTTAAATAGAGGGTTGTACAATGGTAGATATCGGCCTCTGTAACAACTGCTATAATATTAAAATCTATTAACTTTCCTCACAAAATATACTTATATATTCGGTATGATATTCCCAACAAACTGCAGTTATTTCATTGAATGTAATGACGATGCTGTTTGGAATTAAAATACAAGTATAATCACTTTCAGATGAATTTGAGGATATCTCAGTCTGTATAGCGACGGGTGGGAGAATATTGTAGGTGTTCCCTTTTATATTATCAGTAAATAATTGTTAGTATATGTTACATACCGTTCGGTTTGCGAAATTAAATTAGTACTCATCCATAGAATCTGACACCATCTTGTGCAATAAGAACTTCGACATAAAAACTTCATTGCTCTGTAACCGGCTAAGTACTGGGTCGAAGTTGAAACTACACAGCCTAAACCTAGGAAATAAAAGCCTAATGTTCTGCCAGGTCAGTGCTTCCGCACACCTTCAGGATCAGTGGTGATATTGGTTCTGTGGGAATAAAGTTCAGATTCTGACAACTTTTGGTGCAGAATCAGAATATCAAAATCATTGACATCTCTTCAGTAATTGCGGAGATGAAACGAGAATGGACAGTGAGACACGACACGACACGACACGGCACGACACAACACGACCTTCCTGCTGTTCTTTAGTTTTATGCATTTAAAGCAAGGAATAAAAGAAAACTGACATATTAAACATGAGACCGCGGCTTTTAACGGAATGGTAGGATCTTTCAGTCGCGATGATGTAAATCGTAAATTCGATTTCAGGGCTGAACAGTAACCTTGGATATAATAACCACATTTCTATTACCTGCAGGAGTCAAGGACGTAGAGATTGATTTTCCGTATTGATGTCTCTTGCCTTGGCATGCTACCAGTTCATTATTACCATTTTGCATTCCACAGCTGTGTGTGCCTTATTTGGCATACGTTCAGAATTCTTTGACCTGTATGTAAAGAAATGCACAAATTACATACTTTTAACATAAGAACTTGGAAAAGAAATAATTTGTGAAGGAGGCCTCTGTTTTACTGGGGTTGTGCGGACTGCATTCATGTGCCTCAAGATACGGACCAGTGGAGGGCTGTTATGAAAATGGTAGTGAACTTTCAGATTCCATAATATGGTGGGAAATTCTTCAGTAACTGCACAAGTAATGGCTTCTCAAGAAGGGCTTAGCTGCATGGAGTTAGTCAATGTCATTGCCTCATTTCTGGTATACGCTTGAGATTCTTGAACAGCTTAAGTGGATCCCACTGAAGAATAGATTTCTTGTTAGTGATCACAAGAGTTTTGAACCGTGTCCTTGGGAACAGGAACCGCTGTAGTATGACAGTAAAAATTTGAAAGGAATGCAGTAGAAAATATAACTGTGACACATGTAAATTCCATTGGAAATGCTATATTACAGGGGGATGTCATGTGGCTATTTTCCTTTTCATGTTGTCTTTGGTTCCACTGCAGTTTCTGTGATAGTTCTATTAAGTGCTGCTATTAATCACTATTCTGTCCTCCTTAATTTTTCTCTTTTTTATCCAGATCCCCAAATTCAGAACAACTGTAGTGATTTTTGATGAGCATTTGGATGGAGAGTATCACTATATTTCTAAGAACAATGGGTTCACATTTACGGAACATGGGATAAATCCTGGATCTTGTCAACCTGTTACTGGTGTAAGATTATGTAATTATTTTTTGTTGCAGATCCATGTCTGTACATATTGAGATTTGCCAACCGACTTGAGTTTGGTGACAAAACTCATGATGTATCAATGACAGCCTTGCGATTGGTACAAAGGATGAAGAAAGATTCTATACATATAGGTCGGAGGCCATCTGGACTTTGTGGTGCTGGTAAGTTTAATGCTTGTACATTGTTGTAGATTTCATTTTCAGTTTTATTCCACCTGTAAATTGTGCAGTCTTGTCAATTTCACAGAAAACAGAGTGTTGACTAATGATGAAAGTGATTTTCTTCTCTTCAGAACTGTTTGCTTTCCAAAGAATAAGTTGCCATTTTGTTGTTCTCATGTAATGTATATCTCCCGTTTTTATGAACATTTTGTATTTTTTTTAAAACTGCTCTGTCTAAGAGTGTAGTTGTCATGTATTTTTTTAATGCTAGTGGGGTGGGACTAAGTCCCTTGTACTGCGGTCACTTCTGGCCTATTGTACCAGCCCCAGATGATAGGTGAGGGTGATTGTGGAGCAATTGGTGGAATTAAGATTGGCAGGGGAAACCGAAGTACTCGGAGAGAACCTGCCCCAGCGCCACTTTGTTCACCGCAAATCCCACTTGACCAGACCCATGATTGAACCCGGGCTGCCGCAGTGGGAAGCCAGCGACTAACCTTGGCGCGGCCCTGTCATGTATTTGGTTCCACACCAGTGATGTTCAATCACTGTGCATGATTGAAAACTTTTGGGCCTGTGATGATGAATCGTAAACTGCACATATCACTTTGATATGTCACATATTCTTATCAGTATCTATTTTTAAAGATATTTCAACCAATAATTTTAAAATAGCCCTTACTGAAAATAACAGTAAAGTCTCGAATATTCTGTGTAATGGATTCTATCATTTAGTTATATTAAGAATAGTTAGAATTAGTTAGTATTAAGAATTATAATGTTCGTATTACAATTTAGTCAGATTACATAAATATCCAAATATGGAAAGATAAAAATGTTCATGTAATCTTATTAGTTTTTCCAGTCAAATGTTGGAATATTTAATTGGAAAAGGCTGTTAAACTTTACATTCCCCCATCATTCAGCACTGCATAACCTATTGTTCAGCATATGTAACTAGCCTGAGAATATTAAGTTCTATGTAGCACTTATTGGAAGTAAATAAAAGATATTACGTGGGGCATTGAACAGTAACTGTCTCATCAAGCATTAAGGGTCATTTGAATTTTTATTAGAAAATTTTGAAAGTATAGCACTAAAAACACTACACTCTATACAGTGTTCTGCTGCATTTCATAAGGTACTTACACCTTGTGAGTTCATCTCATTTGTCATGTTACTTACTTGCCTTACTAATTCTAGCTCTCCTGATGGCAGCTCGACTTCATGAATTTAACCGCACCGTCTCAGATATAATCAAGATTGTGAAAGTACATAAGTCTACAGTTAGGAAAAGGTAAAAATGAATATTCATCTGATCACCAAACAATGTTTGTCATAAACTGACACTAATCAGAAGGTGGTAGTGAATTACTTTCAGACTTAATGTACTAGTATAAGCATATGAAAGTGAACTTCAAGGAATGCTCACTTGGAGCCATCCAGATGAGCTGAAACATGTCGCATAGTTTTAACATAGTTAATTGCACAGATGTGGTGATGAGTTAATTTCTTATTTGTTGTGTTGACAGTTATATATGTATGTATATATACATATATGCGAAAGTAAAGCTTGTTAGAACGATTATATAACAATAATTTATAAATTTAATATATTCCAGGGTAGGGCAAGTGGGGTAGCCACCCAGGGCTCTGCACAATGATATAATGAAATATGTAACATAATACTTCTCATCCACCTTCATAGTTTTGTGAGCAGCAAAATCATATGTTAGTTCTCAGAATTCTAAGTTCAGAACCAGTTACTGTTAAGTGAGAATCTACTGTATATTAGTCTAGCTGTCCCAGTTTCATGATTGTGCCCTAGTGATACATTTTAATTACAGTAAGCTGTGAAAAGCTTATTTGCTTCCTGACATCATAATGGAAAAGACATAGAACTGTTGCCAACAAAGTAGCCAAATTTTTACAGTACCCTACAAAACAGAATCATACTGTCATATCTTAGGTCATTTCAGGCTGCTTTTTCATTTTGGTTGATATTTTAAGACCTTTTTGGAATCCTGTCAGAGCCCACCCTGTCAATGTGTTCCTTCCAGTTTCTCATGTCTTGTTCTGCGATTAATCCATTTTGGTCCATTGCTAATGGTTTAGGAGTTATGACCATTTGTTTGTAACAAATATGGCTAATTCAGTTCCTCATATAAATCTTTTATCTGTGGAATTTGCAGTTCTGTCCTACATTTTTTTATGGTCCAAGTGAAATGGAAGTAAGTTAATAGAGGTGAGACAGAAGAGTTCCTGTGTCACCATTATTTTTCACAATATAGAGGAACAAAATAATTATCACGTGTTGGGTGTATAACGTGACAAATACTTCATGCCTTATTTGATATAGCGAATTTATTGCGCATCCGCTCTTACAATTACACAATTTATAATCTCACTATTACTGCCATCGACAGTATTACAATTCTCTTGTTTCCATTCACTCTGAAGAGTGCTAGACTGTAACTGGCTGGTTACTCTCTCTCTAGAAACTCACTCACTCGTAACTGGCTCAGTCCTCACTATTGCAAGTACTTGACGGGTGACACAGTAGTTTCTCTCTGCTTTGTTTAGTGTCTTGCTGAAGTAAGCTATGACACGCTCTTGTCCGTCCTTTGACCGGTTTCACTATGGCGTCTTCTACAGGGATATCTTCTTCTTCTGCCGTCTCAGGTTTCCTGTCCACTGAGGTCGGCTTTTCTTCTTCTGGATGTGCCTCCATTTCTTGGCAGGCAATTGTCTCCATGTCTCTTTCTGGTTTGGTTTCAGAAGCCATCTCCTTGTGGCTGCTGCTGATATTTTCTCGCATGGCTTCTGTCCTTGCTTGGATAGCTTCAATTCTATGTTGGAGTGTCTCATCCAACTCTGACCACCTAGCTCGCATTGCGGCCTTCATTTCTTCCTTGTCGGCCTCCCTATCATCGCTCAGTTTGGCCAGCAACTCTTTATGGCTGGCTTCCGTCTTCACTTGGGTAGCTCTTGTTTCTGCATCCATCTTTTCTCCCCAGGCCCTCATCTCTTTCAGCAGGAGTTCCATCATCTGCTGTACATTACATTTGGTGTCAGAAGTGGTTTACGAACTTGAACATGCCTCGATGAATAATCAAATTTACGAGTGCATCGACTATTAATACTGTCACAAAATGGATGCATGACAAGTATCTCAGTTACCAGTAGCAGAAACTTTAACATTAATCCTAAGCTATTTGGAGATGGAGACCGCCCTGCCCCTGTCTTTATTGAAGCTTCTATTAATAGTGTATCTTGTATTACCAGTGCCAGGATCTACATATCTAATTGTGTAGGAAGTTAACATAGTTTATATGCCATAAAGTAAGGAATGGTATAGGGTATTCTTCCATGTTAGGTGAGTCCTCAGGTTTCAGAGGCAGGAGACAGCTTCTAGATATGGAGAGTAGCTGTGAATATATTGAATAAACATTCACAGATAGCTGACAAGGGGTGGTCCTTCAGCTTGGGAGTTTGGCATGGGGCTAATAACCCACCATAAAAAATGAGCTTGTTACAAGATGTCACAAAGGGCTTTGAAACTGGACGGATTCTCTGGATAAACAACCTAAGCTAAAGAAAATGAACATGAGATTTTATACATGGAATGAATGTACAAAATCTCTGTAGGGCAGGCTTGCTCATGACAGTTGCAAAAGAAATATTAAAATATAAGTTTGATTTAATGGGAGTACAGGAGGTCAGATGGGACAGAGGCGGTACTGAACCAACATGCTAATATACATTTTTCTATGGAATGGGGAACGAGAATCATGAATTAGGTACAGGTTCATTTATATATATAAGAGAATCATATCTTATATACCTTGTATTGATTTGGTGTTCCTTGTCAGTACAAGGTACACACAACCAGGAGAGTGGCACACTCAAAGGGGCACAGAAAAACTACAATACAAATATAGGAAAAGAAAAGGCATTCTCAAAATACCAAATTTGAGAATAATGACAGTATACATCAGTGAGTACTAGCGACAGCAGGGGGCACATTGCACTGATGGTAGGTAGGAGAAAACTTTATAACAAGGAGCTTCATAACTTGTACTCTTCGCCAAGTATAATTAGAATGATCAAATCAAAGGTGATGAGATGGGCAGGGTATTTAGCATGAATGGAGAGAAGAGGAATGCATATAGAATATTGGTGGGAAAGCCAGAAGGAAAGAGACCACCAGGAAAACCAAGACATAGTTGGGCTGCTAATATTAAAATACATCTTAGACAGATAGAATGGGGTGGTATGGACTGAATCAGTCTGACTAAGGATCAAGACCAGTGGAGTGCTGTTGTGAATGCAGTAATGAACCTTCAGGTTCCATAAATTGCTGGGAAGTTCTTGAGTAGCTGCACAATTGGTGGCTTCTCAAGAAGGGCTCAGTTCCATGAAGTTAGTTTATTCTTATGCTATCTTCTGCTTTATGTCAGGCTGATAGAATTTGGAGAAACACCATCAAGTTCACTGACATTGGATGAATTTATGACAGTAGATTTGGAAGAAGAGCAAGATCCGCCTTCATTCAAAGCTGCCCGCAAGAAGGACAGAGAACGGTTACAAAAAGTAAGTTATGAGCTGGGATTTTCAAGAAAAGAGATGTGAAATTACTCTGACAGAGCATCATACTATCAACATTTTTAGAAGAAATATAGGTAACAGCAATTCTGAAACTCCAGAACTAGAAATGTGATTCTGAGGGTAAAAAAGTATTGCCTGTTTTTCCTTTTTTCTTTATTTTTATTAGAATTGTGTCAGCTTTAGGATTTTATATCAGGAGAGAAGAACTGTTAGGATAAATACGAATGCTGATGCAGGAGAAGTGGTTGTGGTTTATTATGATGTGTGTTCTAACATAAGTATGGTGGGTCTCAGAATATAACTATCAACATTAGAATAATTGGTCTGCTGGATGAGAGCTGAACTGGAGACCTCATGAATATGGAGGATGAATGCTGATCACTACATCACATATTCAAATGAGAAGAAATGTTATAATAAACAAAAGTAAGATCACATACAATAAAGAACACTGATTAATTATTTTTATATCATTTATCAACTTCAGTCTCAAAGCTGTATAGTGAAGGGCTGATTTAATCTGACCAACAATTTTGTGATAGGATTAACTGTTAAAGGGTAAAGAAACATAGTGTAGCGTGTAGAGCTGTTACTACATGATGACTGCATGAAAAGCAAATATACCAGAGGCGCTTCTAGGAAACAGCTTGGTAAACATGTTCCTGCAGCAGCAACTTGATGCGCAACAATACAGGTACTGTTGGAAATAGGGTGTTTCTATGTGGTCCATGCACATGGTAGCTTAGTTGGTTGAGGCACTATGCTACCAGCCGGAATGTCGCAGGTTTGAGTTCCGATGAGGTGGATTTTTTCAATATACCTAATCTTGCCAGCTGCACTATGGCCCTGTGGCCAACTCAGTCTCTAACAAAATTAGTACCAGGAATCTTCCTGGGGGGTAAAGGGCAGCTGATGCATAAGGCTGACAACCTTACCACCATCTGTGAGCCAATTGGCTAGAGAAAATGTGGGAGCCTCGATGTCTCACAACCCTACGGGCCTTCACGGCCTATTACAAGGATGGCTTTATGTTTTACCATGCAAAGGAGTTATCTTGAAGACAATTGGGGCAACCAAGTCAGTTCTGTATGTGAATCTGTGAAGAGAGGAGTTGAGGATATGAAGCTGAAGAATATCCACTGTTAGAAGATGTTGCCAGGGAATGGCTGGTGAAAACACAACAGGCTGAAAAAGGCTTAGTGGGTGCTGTGGTAATTCGTGAATTGGAGATTAGCGTTGGCACTGTAATTACCTGTACTTACAGGTTGTATGCATAAGTGGTTACAAAATCGGCTCACCAGTCCAGACCCTGTCTATAATCAGTCATACACATTAAAATATATGATAGAAATTTAAAGTAAGTGTGGAGTTCTGGTTAGAATTTCTGACACACATTACTGCATGTGCTTAAATCTGTCTAGAGAGCCTAAAGGAATTACGAGTATAAACTAATTGCACAATGTAGTGATTTATTTCCATACATAATTTCCAGCAGTGTAGTTTCACACTAGGTACCTTAAAGATTGTCAGCTCTAACCTTAAGTTTTGCACCATCACCATGTTTTTAATTTTTAACGCATGGTATTAAAAGCATTTCGCTGAAAATTTATAAGCAAGTTTCTGATCTATGACTAGTTTCATGAAAATCTGTGTATTGGCTAAAAAGTTACAAGGTGATGGTAGACACACTCACATTCCCATATGGAATCCCAGCACCACTCCAACACACAAACATCACTGAAACCCCAAGAAGACACAGAAGAGCATGTAAAAAAGAAAACAAAATAGTTTGTCAAAAGGGACACCAGGTTAAGCAACATGGTGAAGGGTTAGATTTGGATCGGTGATTACACAGTTTGACTCCACCCTCCTACTGCATAATATACCAATAGGAAGAAGCATGGATTCAACAATATCAGTGATATATGGTCATTTACCACATCAACTCTGATGTTCAAGATTAAGGAGATCTCTGAAACATTGGTTTCTAGCTCAACATTGACATGGCTGGTCTCCTGAGAAAATTTTAATGCATTTATTTATCATGAAAGCTTCAAATTTTACACATGCCCATACTTGATACAAACACATGCCCCCCCCCCAACACACACACAGACACATATCCAGACATGATGATGCCTAAAGGCTGTCCTCAATTTACAACATTAGAATAATAAATTCAAATCAAGACAGTCATTATGGTCAGTGAAAAGAAAGGGGAACCTCTTGTGTGTGTGTGTGTGAGAGAGAGAGAGAGGGGGGGAGAGAGAGACAGACAGAAGTGCCTCGGACAGCAAGACGGCTGTAAGTAGCTAAGTGTTTCTTCAAACTTTACCAGGAAGTTCCTTTTATACTTCTTTTTAAGGCATAGCAGGTAAAAGTTGAAGGCTGATATTAACCTTCTGATCTCTTTTGTAAATATATAGATGGTGGAGGAAGAGGAGACTGTTCACAGCTTCAATGAACTGCAGCAAGAGATAGAGAGACAGTTAGAAGAGAAGGCGAGCCTTAAGAAAGCACACAAACGAACACAAGGTACATCCTTCAGAATGTTTTTTTGTGTACAATATTATATTTAAGCATCCTGTTAGCAGCCTCCGTAGTCTATGGGTAACGTTCCCACCTCGTGACTCAAGGTATGCGGGTTCAAACCCGGCGGAGGTCGTGGAATTTTTAAGGGCCGAAAATTTCAGGGAAAAAGTCCTCCGGGAGGGACTTTAAGCCGTGGGTCCCGTGTCGTAGCTATACGGCACGTAAAAGAACCTCATGTCCCAAGGGGACCACTGAGCCGAATTGATCGGACATTTCCGGCCCAACAGTAGTCTCTAACGCCTCTGGTAGATGGGGGAAGCATCTAGATACCGCTGAGCCAGTAGAGGCTGAACTAGCTGGCTGAGTCGGGACTGATGGCACACACCAGTATCGGTAGGGTATAGAGACTGGTAGAATATCACAGGGGGACGTACAATAGACCACTGGTCGCGGTGCATGGGGAAACCCACCCCCTCCAATAATAATAATAATAATAATAATAATAATAATAATGATTAATAGTAGTAATAATAATAGTAGTAATAATAATAATAATAATAATAATAATAAGCACCCTGTTCACTCTATACGATATACGATATAAACTCCGTCCTAAGTGCCATAATTTATTGTAGGTCTTTCGTTTTGCTTTCTTCTACACTACATGTTTTGGCCGCAAATGGCCATCATCAGGTGTATACACTCATGTAGCTAACAGAATCTACTTCACTGATACTTGTCTAATTCAAACATAATTTTTTTTACCTACACACGTCAATTTTGACTTTCATGAACTGGCACTTTTAAAATCTTCAGTTCCAATTTTAAAAAATTCCTTTAACATTTTTTTTCAAATTTTAAAATTTTAATACTTTAATACTTCGGTTTCCCCTGCCAATCTTCATTCCACCAATTGCTCCACAATCACTCTCACCTATCTTCTGGTGCTGGTACAATAGGCCAGAAGTGGCCACAGTACAAGGGACTTAGTCCCACCTCACTAGCAATAAAAAAAAATAACCACTGAAGTGAAATTCTCAATTCACTACTGCATGTTGCTGTTGCTGCAGAGCCTGAAGCAGATTCAGACCGTGAGAGCCAGGATGCAGACCGTTTCATTGTTCAGTCAACCCTTGGAACTATCCATGATTATATTGCGGATGATCCAGATCCAGAAACTGTTGATAATGATGTTCAGGATAAGCAAGTGGATGAGCACACATCCTCCCTTTCTACAGGGCTAGGTGAGTATTAGCCATTATCAGGTCTCATGAAACTCATTTGAAAGTTAAATGCAGATGTGAGAAAGCCGTACATTGTGATATTAAGTAGTTTGAAACTATCACTGTTAAATTTCTTATAAACATATAATTATGAACCTAATAGATATTTCAGGTGCACATTTAAAGAAGAGAATGGTGATGAATAGTATATTTGTCAGAATAATTGTTTGTATATACCATTTTATGGAAAGACTGAAGTGTTGGCCTCACTGGCTTATATACCTGACTTTGTCCTTCTGATTAGAAAAGTTTGCACCTCCCTTAGGGTGATATGCATTTGATACATACAGAAGGTGCAGGGTTTCTTCCTGTTCTGAATCCAGATGCATTTTGTTGCATAGGATGAAAGATGATGGCATATCTCATTTCTGTTCTTTATCTTTTGCATGCAGTTGCGTTCATGCAGTGTACTATGAAAGAAAGTCACTATTATGAAGGATAGTTGTCTGCGAGTAGCTGAAATCGAGAATATCAGAGTTTGAGCAACTTGAAAACATCAAATTTTGCCAAAAATTAGGCAAATTCACTAGCAAAACGTTTTAAATGATCAAGCAAGTGTGCGGCGAAGAAGCCATGGACCGTGGTGCTGTGTTTTACTGGAACAAACGTTTTGCACAGGGGAGAGACAGTTTGGAAGATGATGAGCATACCGGTTGACCAAGAATGGTCAGAAAGATCCAAGAAGTTGCAACGTTGTTGTATGCCAACCACTCCAAAATGGTAGATGAAATCGCTGCAACAGCAGTAGCAGCAGCAGGGATTAGCCATGGTACTTGCTACAGAATTCTTTTTGATGACCTGAACGTGTCTCATGTTATCCAGCACGGTGTTCCACACGCCCTGATACAAGACCAACATGATGATCGTATGAGCATTTGCTGTGACATGACATAGTGCTGACAAAGATGGGACATTTCTCAACCAGCTCATAACAGAAGATGAAACATGGTGCTTTCTGTACGATTCACAACTAAAGCAACAATTTGCCACCTGGAAATTACCATATCACCAAGAAAGAAGAAACTGTGAGGGGACAGGTCAAAAGGCAAGGTAGTGCTTGAACTGATTTTTGACTCTTTGGGTATTGTTCACATGGAATTCATCCCAGATGGAGCAACTGTAAACAAGCACCACTACGAGGAGCTCCTTCACTGTCTGCACAATTCAATCTGTTGTAAGCATCCCGAGCTTTGGTGCAGGAAGAACTGGCTGTTGCTACATGACAGTGCCCCTGCACATCGCTCTGTGCTTGTCCAAAAGATGCTGGCAAAATAACAGGTCACCGTTTTGCCACACCCTCCATACTCACCTGATCTCGCCTCATGGGATCTCCTTTTCTTTCCCTGCTTGAAAGAAAAGTTATGTGGCCATTGATTTCAATCGGCTTAGGAGATCGGTAGTGCCACAAGGGATGCCTTATGGGACCTTCCTACAAATAACATTGGCAGACTTGCATAGTGGCCAATGATGACTATTTTGAGGGAGGATATGGATATGTGTAAGTGTGAGTATCTTGTAATATGGTGTGACAAAACCACAGCCCATGAAATTATTGACTGTAGTAGTATTATTCTGTACGATTAGCTTCTGTGTGATGAGTTACAGCAGTTTTGTCACACAGGATTGTGTTTTTATATCATGTACATTTTCAGGTATCTTTGAATTGTATGTGGACATGCCTATGTAAATTCCATGTGTGTTCATCAGAAAAATGCCTTAATCCTGTAGCCCCAGTAAATGTTCTCTATGTAATTTGCTGAATGCATGCCGATTTTCATGTTTCATTTTACCTTTACCTTTTCTGTTTAAAATAGGTCCAGACATTGCCAGCATGGGGCTGGCAAACTCAATGGATGATTGCCCTGATATAAGACCAGAATCCAATTGTGTGGAAGATGGGAATGGTGAAATTGATCTCACTGGTATTGATGATGATGAAATTGATTCTTACATCATGTCTGAACAGGAAGCCCAGTACAAAGATTCTTTGTGGATGAAGATCAATGCTACATATCTCAAGGAACAGAAAGGTACATTGTCTTGGATGATGATATTGTCATTCCTGTCATCAGTTTTGTAATCACTATTGGAACTTTACATCAGCAGAGCAAAGATAATGCTGAAATTGGAAGTGACATTAATAAAGCATATTTTTAAGAACAGTATTTTAGTTATGGGTTACAATATATTTAATTATTCTGCATAATTTTAATGACAACTGTTTGTTAAACATATTACAGACATGTAGTATGAATAGCAATCTCCTTCATCCTACAGTGTAGTAATTTATTACATGGGCAGCTGAATTTCATACTGGTGTTTATAGTGTTTCTATGTTTCTTCAATATAACAGGCCACAGGCTGGACAACCGAGGAATCTGGGTCTGATTCTCAGCAGGAGGAAAACTTTTCTCTTGTACAGCATTCAGATTGGCTTTTAGGCCCACTGAGCCTTTTCTCTAATGTAAGATCTAAAAGAGACGATGGTACATTATTACAAATATAATGTTACTGTACATTATCCATTGTCCTGTTTTTATCTGTCTAATGTGTTTCAGGGACTCTTTCCCTGGAGGTAATGATGCTGACGGCTTATCTCCATGTAGTGCCAAGGTTAAGAATGTGTAGAACTGTACCTTGAGTCCTCCATATGTCTTCCTGGCACAGGGACTTCAGAAGTACCTTTACCTTTGTGTTCATATGTACTTATAGAACTACCATCACCATCTGTTCTTGTCCCATGTACCTTTACTTTACTGTTCATGTGTACTTACAAAACTGTCATTTCCATCTGTTTTTGTCCACAGTCTTTGTGTTCCGATGTCAAGGTGCCTTGTCACTCTGTCTGCCAGTTGAACTATAACATTATAGGATGAAGGAAATTGTTATATGAAATAATAGTAATAGTACTAGTTAGTTTCAATCAAAACCTGATTCAGGAGGAAATTAAGAGGAGATTGAACTCTTGTAATGCTGGCTACCATTCAGTCCAGAACCTTCTGTCTTCTTGTCTGCTGTCCAAAAACATAAAAATTAGAATATACAAAACTATAATTTTGCCTGTGGTTCTGTATGGGCATGAAACTTGGTCTCTGACATCAAGGGAGGAACATAGACCTAGGGTGTTTGAGAACAGGGTGTTGAGGAGAATATTTGGACCGAAGAAAGATGAAGTGACAGGAGGTTGGAGAAAACTGCATAATGAGGAGCTTCATAACTTGTACTCTTCTCCAAGTATAATTAGAATGATCAAGTCAAAGAGGATGAGGTGGGTAGGGCATGTAGCATGAAGGGGGGAGAAGAGGAATGCATATAGGATATTGGTGGGAAGACCAAGGCATAGGTGGGTGTACAATATTAAAATGGACCTTAAAGAGGTAGAATGGGATGGTATGGATGGGATTGATCTGGCTCAGGATAGGGATCAGTGGAAGGCTGTTGTGAACACGGCAGTGAACCTTCGCGTTCCATAAAATGCTGGGAAATTCTTGAGTAGCTGCAGAATTGGCGGCTCCTCAAGAAGGGCTCAGCTCCATGAGTAAGTAAGTTAGTTAGTTTCAATACATTCGTTGTTATCCATCATCCAGGTATTATGCTAAAGGTCTAATATTTTTGAAGCTGGTTCTGCTTCAGTCTTCGGGCAAAAGGAGGAGTGTATTGATGGATCCTCAGAAAGTACTAATCTCAATCATGGATTAGAACAGTTAGTTGCCTGAGTGCAGAACTTTATTCATTTTAAGTGTTATGGATTAAAAAATATCTTTACAGAGAAAGAAGAAAGATTAGCAAGAGAAAAAGAGGAAGGAAAACCAGAAAAGAAAAAGAGAAAGCCATGTCAGAGAAAGCCTAAGAACAACAATGCTGCTAACTCAGCGGGTGAAGCAATAGAGAAAATGCTTCAGGAGAAGAAAATATCGTCAAAGATAAATTACGATGTACTGAAAAGTTTAAATGTTAAATCATTAGACACTCCTCAGACACCTACTAAAGAAACCAGTGAAAGTAGTACAATTTTAACCAAACGACCTGAGAATATTTCTTTATTTGGCTCTCCGGAAAGAAGGTATGCCCATACTAGTTTTTACAAGTACATTCATATTATTTGTATATGTGTGTGAATTTACAAAGTACATTGTGTCCATCACTTGTGTTCTGTATTTTCCAAGTTTAACAGATGACAATAGAAAGTAGTGTGGGAACATCCCACATTATCACGCATTTCTGCAACGCTCGCTCTTCACATCACTTTTCACCATCACGCGCGCTAACCAATCAGATTGCTTCAAACGATCGCATTTATACTATGCTCGGCGCTAGCCCGCGTCTGCACCATTGTGCGCGCTAGCCAATCAATTCTTCCTCCTCACTTTCGAGTTTGGCTCCGCCCCACCGACCAGGGTATAAAAAGGAGCGACCCCAACGCCGAGTTGTTCAGTCCGACTGCAGTCTACGATCAAACCACACAGCAAGCAACTTAAGCCAGCAGGCTTCGTCGCCAGCGCTCAGTCTTCGGAGGCATCGGCAGGCTGCGCCAGGCACGACTGCCTCGGCCCTCCAGCGCTCTCACACCAGACTCACTGGAGCACCGCGCCTGGACTCGCCGGTGGTCGTGTTATGGTCCGACTCACTGGGCATCTGGCGTAGCCACTGCCTCATGACTCCTATGACCGCGCTCACGACTAGCCTTTCACCAGCCATTCACTGTAACTAGCCTTTCTCCTTATGGCACGTGCCGCGCTACCTCTCCGATCAAGCATCTCAGCAGCCACGGTCCTTATCAGGGCCAACAGACTGTTCCGAAGAAGTGGGTTGTCATAGGAGTAATGACAAAGACACACATCAAGAGAGCCCCACATTGGTGACCCCGACGTGATTGGAAGCGCGTGTGGTGAACATCAGTAACGACTCCTACGTTGGATCATCACGTCCCAGCATAGACACCGCGTACACTTCGCAAGCAGCAACATCACTTCTCGCAAGGAGGGGAGTGATGTGGGAACATCCCACATTATCACACATTTCTGCAACGCTCGCTCTTCACATCACTTTTCACCATCACGCGCGCTAACCAATCAGATTGCTTCAAACGATCGCATTTATACTACGCTCGGCGCTAGCCCGCGTCTGCACCATTGCGTGCGCTAGCCAATCAATTCTTCCTCCTCACTTTCGAGTTTGGCTCCGCCCCACCGACCAGGGTATAAAAAGGAGCGACTCCAATGCCGAGTTGTTCAGTCCGACTGCAGTCTACGATCAAACCACACAGCAAGCAACTTAAGCCAGCAGGCTTCGTCGCCAGCGCTCGGTCTTCGGAGACATCGGCAGGCTGCGCCAGGCACGACTGCCTCGGCCCTCCAGCGCTCTCACACCCGACTCACTGGGGCACCGCGCCTGGACTCGCCGGTGGTCGTGTTATGGTCCGACTCACTGGGCATCTGGCGTAGCCACTGCCTCATGACTCCTACGACCGCGCTCACGACTAGCCTTTCACCAGCCATTCACCGTAACTAGCCTTTCTCCTTATGGCGTGTGCCGCGCTACCTCTCCAATCAAGCATCTCAGCAGCCACGGTCCTTTTCAGGGCCAACAGACTGTTCCGAAGAAGTGGGTTGTCATAGGAGTAATGACAAAGACACATCAAGAGAGCCCCACAGTAGTATCCCAAGGACTGTACATTTAGATTTCTGAAATGTGTCCCTTAATGTGAGTTTATTTGGCATTACAAATCTGTTTTTGTGAAGCCAGTAAATTGCACAATGATATGAGCTCATTTTTGGAAAACTGATTAAGTTTTTTGTAAGCTTTATGTTGGTCTGAAATAGACCAAAATAAAATTCACATAGCAATGTTTAGTAGACTCCCATTACCAAATGTAATCAAATTTCATTAGGGAATAATACCAGAGGTAAAACATGGACGTGGGCAAACTAGACAGGACCTCCCCATAATGCATTTACTTTATGCATCTCACACTAAAATAACATAAAAGAAAACAGTGCAATCATGTTCAGAATGTTCTGTTGAAACTGTTATGTTTCAAATTTATTCACAAGTTCATGATATATTATCATACACAAAGACATATTAATTTCTCCTGTATTAAGTTTTGTTAAAAAAGTTTCACTCTTGTAATTTCTCCGTTTATGGTTCCCATTCTGCAAGTAAATATGTGCAAATTATCTTGCTGCATCTGTCACTTCTAAACTTAAGATGTAAATGCCATAGCTTAAACCTAATTTGTGGTGTGTGGCACCGTATGTATGTGTCTCCTACACTGTGTTTCTAGGCTGATACCTGTCTCCTTAAAATAACCTATATTTATGCTGCATGCAAGTAAATTGCAGCTGCAGATGAAGTAAACAGTAGGTGAAGTGAGTAAGTAACATGTACTGGAAGGGCTAGAGCAAAAAACATTTTAAAATTGTTGTTTTCTTTAGGCTAATTTTTTCGTAAAACATTTCTTTCTTATTGTCACACATTAGCTTTCAATTTTCTGCTTGCTGAAGTACAAAACATTGTATTTTAGTTACCAACTGGTGTGTTAAAAATGGTTTTAACTATGAATAGGACTGGAATTCTATGTAAATTCAATGTTTTATTTTTCTGTGTACTTTTCTAGAAGAACTGACATGACACTGGATAGACTGGATAATCCAGTACAGAAACCAAAGACAGCTCGAGCTGCACCCAGGACTGATGGTGTGATCCGCAAAAACAAGGTTATAACAGGTCAGGATTCTCCTATAGCTGCCATGACAGCAGAAGAACCTCAGCAGGCAGTAGCAGAAAGGACAGAACTGGCCCCTGAACCTGAACTAGGTGATTTCACATGTTATCATTGTTTAAAAATGTTAATGTCCATGTTCGCACAAAGCTATACGAGTATAATATGACAGGGATGGGGGCTCTTTTATTATAAATACTGGTAAGATTGCATCGTAAACAACACTGCATATAAGTGTCACAAAAGATAATAACATTTGTGCTTTATGATCTTAACAAACTTGGAACTTGTGCATACATTCAATAAAAGAAAACTGACTTTTGTGAAATTCAGGTTTAACTAAGTTCACTATTACACTGTATTGTAATAGTGCCTGTGTCTGATTACTATGGACTGGATTTTAATTCAAATGCATATTTCTTTCTTGCAACCAGAAAGTATGCTCATCTGGATATATGTTGAAAGTTCTGGAAAGATTTATGCTGATGTCTTCGTGGCATACTGCTTAACTAATTAGGCACAGGACACATTTACTTTACTGAAGTTCACAGAGCAACAATATGCACCAAAGATGTATGCTGCAGTATTGATTATACCTACCATGGCTGTTTATTGCTGCAATCTTCTTCTCCTATTCATAGTTGTTTCCTCACATATATAACAACAGAGCAGCAAGTGTTGGTCTTCTTTGTGTGTCTGTACGTGTGTGTGTCCCCTTCTTCTGTTTGTTTACACTCTGTAGTGCTCATGACAGGGCATTAGTGATTGTGTTGAGTGACAGTCTGTGTGAACACATCGGAAAATGGTAGACTTGTCTGACTTGGAAGAGGACCGATCATTGATACACATTTAGCTGGAGCATCTATGACAAAAACTGCCACTTCATTAGATGTATCAAGATGTACAGTTTCTGAGATTATGTCAGCATACCTGAATCAGTGGGAAGACAACATCAGCAAAGAGGAACAGTGGGAGAAATCAACAGTGAGAAGGATTGTTTTGAAAAATTACAGAATTACTGCAGCACAGGTGACAGCAGAACTGAGTATTCACCTTGAAGTGTTTCCACAAAAACTGTCCAACATGAGGTTCACAGATCCAACATCCACAGTAAGGCTACAATTGCTTAATCTCTGATTACTGAACGTAATGCTCAGATGTGTAAACACTGGTGTCATGACCCTGAAACCTGGACATAAGACAACTGGAACCACGCAAGTGGCATGGTCAAATGAGTCATCCTTCCTGCTATTCCCTACATCAGGAATAGTTTATGTATGTAGAACTCCCAAGGAAGCTTACAATATGGAATACCTGTTCCAACCTCTAAATATGGGGAGGTTATGTGATACTTTGGGCAAAAATATCGTGGTTCAGTATTCTTTTCCCCCAATTATTACCATCATGGCCGAATTTCTGCAAGGGAATACATGGACAGGTTGGGTAATCAGGTGCATCCCATGATCCAGACATTATTTCTGAACAATGATGCAGTTGTCCAAGATAACAATGCCCCCATGCACATGGCTGGAACTGTTCAGGCATGGTTTGAAGAGCATGAAGGTGAACTTCAGCATCTTCCCTGGCCAGCACAGTCACCAGATTTGAACATTATTGAACCACTCTAGTCAGTTTTGGAGATTAGAGTGAGGAACAAATTCCAACCCCCAACATCTCTAAAGCAGCTTGAAGATGTTCTTCAAGAAAGATGGAATAAAATTCCAATAGAGGCTGTTCAAACTTTTACAAGTTCATTCCAAGGACTGCTGCTGTAATGAGGGCAAAAGGTGGTCCACGATCATACTGATAGAGAAATATATACAGTATCTATAGTGTTTCCATTATGTTGTCCAACCCCTATATATGTACGTATAAAATATAAATTTGAAATTTGTTTTGTTTTATTTACTTTAAGATTTGTTTACTGATGCTATCAACAGTTCATTCTTTTTAACTTGAAGTGGTAAGTTCATTATAAGGAACTGGAAAGGATAAGGAAGGAAACAGCCATGGCCAAATTTGAAGCACTCTTCTAGTTTCTGCCTGGAGGGACTAAGGAAACCCATGAAACTCCTCAGTTGGGATCAGGGCCTTTTTTTCAGCTGGTGCACATCAGTGTGCATGTCAGAAAATAGTTGTTTTATAGTAGCAAGTATCAATACAGTAGTTAATTTGACTTTGCTTTCTGTGGAACACAAAGTCAGATCTACACACTGCAACAGGATGCTGCAAATTAATATTATCAATAGTTAACACATCTGCTGGTGAATTATGTGTTTTAACCTTGGGGCTGAACCTGAGTGTGAGAATACTAGCAAACATGTTTTTAGAAAGTGCTGGGTGGGACCATATTGAGTCAATTAGGAATCCTTGCATTAATATCATTGCATTCTTTGTTCTTTTGTTGTAGATGATGCTGATGAATTTGAGGATGAGCATGAAGTGGAACATGAACAGAATGATCAAATGTCTTTGACACAGATGCTGAATCATCATAGAGAGGATGATGATTATTATGGTGGTTATGAATATGATGAATATTAAGTTATTTCTGTTAACAGTGTTTGTCAAGATTCCTAATGCAGGCAGGAAATCACCTTTCCACATTCATTTTCATTTCTGCTGAAGAAGAATGTGAGCATACTCAAGAGTGCATTAGCAGCATGTAAAAATTGGTTTCTTTGCGAACATCACAGAAACATTTTGTGTTAAAAGGAGCTAATGGGGTGTTAATTAATGTGTACAGTGCATGTGCAAATTTTATTAACAGACTGGATCTACAAATAAGGACTTGTACATTATTTTCTGTATTATATTCCACTGTATGTTTGGAGTGCCAACATTAATTCATATTTTTGATTTTGCATATTTTCAGAACAGTGATATGAATGTTCTCATTATAAGCCTGTCAAAAGTGTTGACTCTTTCAACATAAAAAGTGAGCTTTAAAAAGACAGGAAATCCTTGTACAATGCAGTTATTTTATGTCATTTTGTTATATGTCAATTTTCCTCTGTTTAGTTTAGCTTGCATTTGTAATGTTTTATTACATATTTGGAATTTAAAATTACAAGGTTTAATTGTTCATTTGATATCATAGTTGGTGGTTATATAAATGTCAATTTATACAATTTGTACTGTTCTAATGTGGTTCACTGTATCAGGAAATATATGGTAGGAAGTTAACTGTATTTTTGGTTATTTATTTTTTTTAGTAAGAGGTTGCTCTCCTCCTGCTGTGTGTTTCATTTAGAAGTAGGTTTGTTTGGGAAAGGAAAAGCATGTGGTGAGTACTAAAAGTATTTCAAAATGATCTTCCATGTTTTGTTTTTGTGATATTTTAATGTAAGTTATGGTCTGATTAGCACTCCTTCATTTCTAGAGGTATGTGGTTTAACTTTTGGCTGTCTTAACTGAGCATTTTCATGACTTTCTCTAGTCTTCCAGTTGAGTATTGAGATGCTTTAAAATAAGCTACAGTCATTTCCTTCCGAGCTACTGTACTTAATATCTTATTTAAAACTACATAACCATTACAGGTAATACAGAAAAATTAAATGAATCATGAATATATCAAATATTTTGGCTGCTTATGATTCTGCCAAAATTTGACCTTTTTGTAAGAAAAACACAAAACTTATATTTGAAGATGAAATTCGTGTTCTGGTATTTTTTTTAGTAATAGCAACGATGTGCATTCTCACTAATGCTTTATTTCCAACCCACAATTTTTTAGGCTTTCTTTAGGCATAACTTTTTATTTTATAGATCATGGCCTAACCATACTGTGTGCTTTAAACTGGCATTCCATGCCCCATTTCTTTAAATTGTAAATAAATACATACTGAATATAACATTTATTCAACATTGAAATATTTTGTTGTATAAACAGTGATAGGATATAGCAACCAAGAGCTAGATAAAGTATGGTTTTAAAGTAAAGGAGTTAAACTCTCTTTCTGTTTACATTGTTATTTGCCATTAAACACATCTCTGAAATCTGTAATGCCACTTTCAGGGGTGGGATTGGCACTAGTGTCAGTTTTATATGAGACATGGGTTTGACATCTTTGTTGTGTCCCTAATCATATTCAGAATTATTTTTCAGGTTCTGTCCAGTGTCTTGTATTCTAAAAACTAGAAAACACAACTTTTTGGACACTGGACCTGTGTCCATCCTCAGGTGAGGGTGGAGACATCTACTCTGTTGGGTCCCTTTGAAAGAGCTAACTTCAATTTACCTAATCATATTAGACATCCAGTTCTTGATGTTTCAGCATCTGGGTGTCGCTGGATGAACGCTGCTATGATTGCAAATGCAGCATCCATTGGTAGGCTGTATTGGAAGTGGGTCTACTATGAACTAAGGATCATGTAGGATGATGTATTGTTGGTTGCTCAGTTGACTTCTCCTTTGCAGTCTGTGGACACACATTTGAGTTTTTTTTGATCTGTTAATGTTGTGTTATGCCACATTAAATACAGTTTGTTCCATTTTGAATAGGTTAGGGTAGGTAGATGTTATATTAGGCTACAGCCGCTCTTATTCATGTGTAATCTGTATGGATCTTGTATTATGATGTCACCATATTTGTGCTTCTGTCAATATGTCAGCATTGGCTCACACTTGCGATCTGTGATTGTCACCTCTGGCACCAAATTTGCTGGAATAGGAACTGATTTGTAACCACTGTATTCCTAAATGTACTTGAGAATACATATGTTTGCAAGGGTGTTGCAAACTGATGTGGAGCCATGAAATTTGCTACAACCAATGCATTAGGTTGTTTGTGCTCATGTTGCTTTGGTTTGGTGAGTTTCATTTGGGCCCTTTTATGTTTATTTGTTGTAAATTTGACTTTGGGAAGAACATGTCACCACCATCATCAGGCTTGAAGAGTAAGCCAAGCAAGAAACCAGCAGGATTCAGAGCTCTGCTTGCTGCCTACTTCATGCTGGTTTCTTGATTGTCTTTCTCTTCAAGCCTGAATGTCAAGGTGATCGATTTTCCACAGTGGACTTTTCACAGATTACATGGCATGATATTCCAGAAGATAGAACTCTGCAGTGTTTGTGTTATGGACAAACCTTGGAATGTAGACACACCATGCTGTGCTTGGGTGACAGTGTATGGTCCACTGAATATACAGGGTTACTACAACTGATTCATTCCATTTCAAAACACTATATTTTCCAAAGTAATAAACCTACAAATATGATTGATATGTGAAAAGAATCGCAAACTCGCCAAGTTTGCATCGTGATACACCAGTTGGCAGCATGAATGCAGTGCCTCATAAAATCGCGATGGAAGCTGGAAAAGAGTTTCTGTGTGTTGGAATATGTGAGATGTTAGTCTGTTATTGCAGTGCAGCGTGCACTCAGAGCAGAGCACAGAAAAGAAACACCATGTAAACAGAGCATTCTGCATTGGTATCGGCAGTTTAAGGATACTGGTTGTCTGTGTAAATGGAAAAGCATGAGGCGACCAATATAGTGTTTTGAAATGGATTGAGTCATTTGTAGTAACCCTGTATTTATTTATGAAAGTGATCACCCATCCAAGGAGTCCTACAGTCTGTAAAAAATGATCATTGAAACTGAGTAATTAGCCCCATCCTCCAAAGTGGGAGTGAGAGGAAGATAAAAAGTGTGCCAGCATTTCAAATAAATTGGCCCTTATTTTATAGTTGTCAGACACTGGAAAACAAACTTCTGTCATGAAAATTGGTATTCTCTTGTGTCTGAAGCCAGCAATTATAAATTTCAATGCAGCTGAAATCACAAAACAAACTAGACCTACTGTAGTGGACTGTTTATTAAATTATTCTAGAAAACAACCTTCTTCTGTAATTACATAAGATATTATTTGTAATTCATTATTGTTACAGATGACTCTGTGTACACCAAAGTACACTGTATTTATATGGCAAATACACACAATACAATTTCCTCCGGAATATTACAAGTGAGAGGTCCTGGAAATGAAATAAAATACTTTTCATATAAAAGTAATAAATTTATTTTTATTAAAAGTTTACGTTAATATGCATAATACAAATGAGTCTTATTTCTTCATAGTTAAACTCTGAAATGTCTGTTCTTAAAATTGATTGCTTCACAGGCTAACTTCCTTGCTCTTCGTGCATTTGGTTCAATATTTTTATGTTATGTATTTTTATAATCTTTGCTAAACATTCTTAAGTATATGTCCATTTCACAAGTTTTCTCTTTCTGAAACTGATCCAGCACACGTTTTATACCCCTTGTCTCTTCCAGTATGTCCTCTGCCTGTAAATAAAAAACAATCCCACACATATACACTACTTCTGAATGATGAAATGTCATCAGAGCTTTGGAATCAAATCAAAACTTCAAGTCTTACAAATCCAAGGTATTTTACTAAGAACACTTTCAGCTGCCAAGATTTCATCTAAGTTTACAAGAGAATTAATTTTGTATAATGCATTTACTGGTAAATAAGAGCTTTAATTTTAAATTCAAGCGCAACTTGGATAGCCAGGCTCTTACCGTACCTTTAGATATACATCTTCCAATGTTACAGTCAAACAAAAATGTAACAAATTATATAAAAACAACCAGTATAATAATCCTTAATCCATTAACACTGATGGCTTCTTTCAGAACAAGCAGATTCTTTTTGAAATGTGTAGTTCAACAAGAATTTTCCAAAAACTTCATTTAGCCTGTGGAGTAGCTTCTTCCGTTCATTTTATATCAGTCAAACAAAATGTCTTAAAATGGCCACAACTGCCACCTTACCTCATTTGGATAAAATTATTAGGTACAACTCTTCTTCATAAACCTAACTCTCTTCTGTGCAGCACACTGTACGGCCACATCATATTTCCTCCAGCAGAACTTGCATCTAGTAATTGTCCTTTGTTCTTCCACTGGCACACATTATCCCAGAAATACTGCTTTTTGCATGCCCTTTAATTGGTGTTTTCTTTGGCATACTCATAAACATTAACTTAAAATTGGTATTATATGCAGTTTGAAGAAATCTGCATAACAGAGGCTCTTATACTTTTATAAATGACTGCAGAAGGTATGTCACTGTGATCCTCACACGAAACCACTGAAATGTTCCTAACATAGTCTCGAAAGAGTCTTTCTCAACAAGAGTAATGAAGCTGCTATCTGGAGAAAACCACATCTTGTCCTGTTATACAATGTGAATCCATAAACCTTATTCTATTCCTGTTGCATACCTTGTTTGAAATATCCAGTAAATGAATGTTATGTACTGATTTTGCAATCTCCTCTTTAATATTCTTTGAGATACACCAATTGTCATTACTACTCGTACATTCAGAATTGTTTAGCTCCACAGTTGCAGATTTCTATAACAGCAGAAAATACATACACAAGTACTACCATTGCTTTTTTATATTTTAATTTATTTCTGTACCTACCACTTTAAACATTTTTTGCTCAAAATTTTATTACAATTGCCTTCCCCACAGTTTATTCAACCTAAAGCTTATATGCCTAAAGAAGCCCAGTTTATATGATTACATTCTTCTGGCCATCAGGAAGATGAAACAGTTTGACTGAGAACAAATGACAGAACCTTCCTATTAATAAACTTCTTTAATGCAGTCCTCTTAAATACCAGAAAACAGTGCCTTAAGTAACCCTAGAACTAAAAATACATGTGATGTGACATGGAAAGATTTCTATGATGTAATAACAGCACTGGGTGCTGCTATTCCTTCTCATGTTGTTCTGACAATCATTTCTTCAAATGTATTTTCTTTTTGCAGGTTTGAATGTTCATTATGTTTTTTCCTTTCCTTTAACAAAAGAATACTTCAAAATATAGTGGCTTGTAGTGACACTTCACAACTCTGTAAAGGCAATCTAGGAAGCTAAATTATTATTATGTTAAGCAAATGTTTTGGCAAATTTTGTTCTCTAAAATAACATTCACGTTAGGTATTTTGTGCTAAATGTAGTATAAAAATATATACTGATACAATAAATAAAAATAACATACCAAATTATTTATTTGAATCTTCAAAGTATTGGATAAATGTTTTGAGCATAACTCTGGAAAAAGTTTCCGCTTCACTGACACATTCAATAGTAATGTACTAAATTCATTTACATCCACTGAAAAAAAAAAAACAAATAAAAAGAATCAGCTCATTAATATAATGTTCAGATTTAGTGTGTTTATTATTTAAAATAAAAGTTACACCAAGCTCACTGAATTTGAAAGCTGGAGCATGCCTCCTCTGCATGTGTTGGGATGTCTCCTAAAATTCATTTACATCCACTGAAATTTACCACATGACAGTACTTTATACTTTACCACATCATTGGCTAGCAACTAATCATTAATAAGGGGCCTTTAGTGCACTGATAGGATTCACTACAGGAACTGGCTGGCTCTGCAGAACCTGGGACATTGATAAGAGGGTCATATATCCAGGAAATGGACTGACCATGTGGTAAGAGTAATGGATATGGTGGTAGCAAAGGGCAACTTTTTCACTACAATAATGATGGTTTCGGTTTTAGAGTTGTAGTCCTGGACATAATCAAATGTTTTCTGTGGAAAAGTGATTTCTAGAGGATTACAGAGAAAAGAGTTTAAAGAAGACTGCTGAAAGAAGAGCACTCCAGACAACATTTGAAAATTAATGTTTGCTTAGAGTTCTTGGTGTGGTTGTTTTGTCTCCAGTGGGCTTGAAACACTGCCTTAAGTTAATTAGATTCGCATATCAAATCTATTTGGGTATGTCCAGCCACATTAGGATTGATTCTTATTGTTAAGTTTCACCCATAGGACAAAATTCTCAGTGACTAATAGACATCTTTGTTCCCCCAAAGAGAACATTTGTACTGTATGGAGTTATGCACAGTTACTGATTTCTCATTCAAACAGATTTATAGCAAGGATAATTTCCCCAGTTGCCTCTTTTTTGTATGGACTGGAGACACACCGCAATTTTTTTAAGCCCTGTAGTTGTTAAGAGATAAAAACCCTTTCCCTGGTGTCAAGGGAAGGAAACAGTACAAGCGTAGATTATTCACACATCTCAGGACTAGAAGTATGACTCACCATATTAACCTCCCCTCAACCCCAAGAAAGTTCTAGAGCCTCTGCTGACAAACTGGACAAATAAACATTTCCAGTGCTCATGCTAGGGCAAAATTCAAAGACATGAAATCTTGTAGTCCTTTACATTAATAAGTGAGGATCATGACATACTGGCTTACCTTAATGACCTTAGTAACTGTGTAAGTGCAAATAAAAATTTCCTCTTGCACAGCAGTATGGTCATTATCTGAGTGAGCCATCAGTTTCAGATTATGTGCAAATGAATTTTGTACTTACATAATCCTCTTGTAGAAATTTGCTATTTTATAGTAGTATATTACTTTAGTGATTAGGATCATGTTTGTTTGTCATGTGTGTTTGGGACCCAAGGTCATGGATGGAATTTTTGGGCATGTGTAAAAACATAATTACTTGAGTCACTATGGATGCAAGAAAGTTTAATAATTACATCTTTTAAAAGAAGTTACCTTTGATAGTTCTAGAAGAGGAATTTGTATGAATCGGGGATGAACTGTGATGGTACAGAAGAGAAAAGGTGAACCACAAAAGCAGCAAAAATATGGATAACTGAGTTAATTTTTATGAGAAATCATAGATATTGCATTGGATAATTCTAACAAAATGGTATAGATTATAAAAACTTATTTAATATTTTGAATACAGCATGGTGTCCACATAAGCTACAGATGAATCTGAGGTTCAGTTACAGTTATTAATTCAACCCTTAACTTATTTAGTCACACCAACCACTTAATCAAATCGGCTTTATCTTAAGTTACAAGACAACAGCATTAACCATGCTAACTTAATTACTGTTACTGGCCATCATATCCTATAAAAACTGCATATATAACATTAGTTTCAGAAGGAAATTATGACAGAAAATATTCATTTCCTATGGTAATTATTTACGATTGGTTAACACTAACATAACCTGTATCTAGAAAACTGCTATAGGTATGCTATATACAAATTTTTTAAACGGCCACGTTGCTAAACCAACAAATGACAAAACCGGGCTCGTTAATACAGCATGAATTCACAATGATCAACAATTTTTTTCGGCGTATTTTTTTGTACCACCTGCAATTCATTATCCCACGCTTTATAAACACTTTCTATTGTTCAATTCAGTAATGGCGGCACCTAATGTGCACAACACATACATTTATCACCCATTTTCAAAGCGTCTCAATTGCCAAATTCACACAAAAATGACCACTAGCACTTCTCAAATTCTAACTTCATTGATATTGCCTGTCCTTGATATAAACCGCCACAACACATCGATCTGTACAACCCAAACAAGCAGTGTAGCCAACCGTACGCGTTGTAGCTGATTGGCTCACGTTTCACGCTTGTTTTTCGCTTGGCCTGTCGAGGCAACATGTTCTTCCGAAACATCGGTGGGCTTTCGCGGGACTACTCGGAGTTATATCCTACAAGATTTTTTTTTTT